CCTGGGTGGCTCAGTCGGTTAAACCACTGCCTTCGGCTCAGGTCATGATCCCAGGGTCCTGGGATGGAGTCCCACATCAGTCTCCTTGTCCATCAGGGAGCCTGCTTTCTCTCTCTGCCTCTGCCTGCGACTCTGCCTACTTGTGCTCTTTCTGACAATAAATAAATAAAAAATCTTAAAAAAAAATCTGTAGATTGCTTTGGATAGTATGGATATTTTAACAATATTTATTCTTCCAATGCATGAGCATGGTATATCTTGCCATTTATTTGTGTTGTCTTTGATTTCTTCATCAGTGTCTTAATAGTTTTTAGAGTATAGGTCTTCAACCTCTTTTGTTAAATATAGTCCTAAGTATCTTATTCTTTATTATGCAGTTGTAAATGTTATTATTTTCTTAATTTCCCTTCCTGCTCTTTTGTTACTAAGTATATAGAAATGCAGCAGATTTCTGTATACTGTTTTTTACCTCCCACAACTTTACAGAATTCATTTATTCTAATATTTTTTGGTGGGGTCTTTAGGGTTTTCTCTGTATAGTGCCATGTCATCTGCAAATGGTGATAGTTTTACTTCCTCCTCACCAACTTAGACATTTTTTAAATTTTTAAAAAATCTGATTGCTATGGCAAGGATTTCTAGTGCTATGTTGAATAATGGTCATGAGTGAACATCCTTGTATTGTTCCTGATCTTAGGGGAAAGCTTTTAGTTTTTCATCTGAGTAGGATGTTAGCTGTGGGTTTGTCCTATATGACCTCTATAATATTGAAGTATGTTACCTCTGTACCCACTTTGTTAAGAATTTTTATCATGAGTGGATGTTGAATTTTGTCAGATGCTTTTTTTAGATCTTTTGAATGATTTTATCTTTGATTTTGGTAATATATAGCATGCTGATTAATTTGCATATATTGAACCATCCTTGCGTCCCTGGAATAAATTCCACTGGTTGTGGTGAATGATCCTTTTCATGTATTTTTAAATTTGGTTTGCTAATGTTTTATTTGCATCTACATTTATCAGAGATACTGGCTTATACTTTTCTCATGGCATTCTTGTCTGATTTTAGTATTAGGGTAATGCTGGCCTTATAAAATGAGTTTGGAAGCATTCCTTCCTCTGTTTTTTTTGTTTGTTTTGTTTTGTTTTTGTTTTTGTTTTTGTTTTGACTAGTTTAAAGAGTGTTATTACCTCTTTTTTAAATGTTTGGTAGAATTTACCTGTGAATCAGCTTGGCTCTGAACTTTTATTGGCTGGTAATTTGTTGATTGCTGATTCAATTTCATTACTATTAATTGGCGTGTTCAGATTTTCTATTTCTTTCTCATTCAGTCTGGTAAGATTTTATGTTTCTAGGAATTTATCCATTTTGTCTAGTTTGTCTGTTGTTGGCATGTCATTTTTTGTAGAAATCTCATTTTTTAAAATTTGTTATTTGTAACTTGTCCTTTCATTTATGATTTTGAGTCTTTTTTTCTTGATGAGTCAGCTAAAGCTTTATTAGTTTTGTTTGCTTTTCAAAGAACCAGCTCTTAGTCTCATCGATCTTTTGGTTTTTTTTCTCTATTTCATTTATTTCTGCTCTGATCTTTATTATTTTCTTTCTTTTGCTAAGTTTGGACTTCGTTCTTCTTTTTCTGGCTCTGTTAGATGTAGGGTTAAATTGTTTGAGATTTTTCTTGTTTCTTGAGGTAGGCCCGTATTGCTATAAATGTCCCTCTTAGAAGTGCTTTTTTTGTGTCCCAAAGACTTTGAATTGTTGTGTTTCCATTTTCATTTGTCTCCAGGTATTTTTTTCTAGTTGATTTTTATGTTGACCCATTGGATGTTTAGTAACATGTTATTTAGCCATGTTTGTGTTTCATCCACTTCTCTTGTAATTGATTTCTGGTTTCATATGGTTGGATAGACAGTTGATATAATTTCAGTCTTCTTAAATTTATGAAGACTTGTTTTGTGGCCTATTATGTGATCTTGAACGTGTATTCTGTAGTTTTCCATGGACTGTTCTATATCTCTTAAGTCCATCTGGTTTCATATATCATTTGAAGCCATGGTTTCCTTACTGATTTACTGTCTCAGTGATCCATTGATATAAGTAGGGTGTTAAAACCCTCTACTGTTATTGCCATACTATCAACTTTTCCCTTTATGTCTGTTAATATTTGCTTTATATGTTTAGGTACTCCTGTGTTAGGTATATAAATACTTGTTACATCCTCTGATAGGAATGATCAATTTATCCTTATGTAATGACCTTTCTTGGTCTCTTGTTAGTCTTTGTTTTAAAGTCCATTTTATTTTTTTAATTTTTTAATAAACATATAATGTATTATTAGCCCCAGGGGTATAGGTCTGTGAATTGCCAGGTTTACACAGTTCACAGCACTCACCATAGCACATACCCTTCCCAGTGTCCATAACCCCACCACCCTCTCCCTAGCCCCCTCCCCGCCGGCAACCCTCAGTTTGTTTTGTGAGATTAAGAGTCTCTTAGGGTTTGTCTCCCTCCCAATCCTATCTTGTTTCATTTATTCTTTTCCTACCCCCCAAGCCCCCCACGTTGCATCTCTACTTCCTCATATCAGGGAGATCAAATGATAGTTGTCTTTCTCTGATTGGGTTTGTCCTATATGACCTCTATAATATTGAAGTATTGCTGGGTTAAGCATAATACCCTCTAGTTCCATCCACGTCATCACAAATGACAAGATTTCATTTCTTTTGATGGCTGCATAGTATTCCATTGTGTATATACACCACATCTTCTTTATCCATTCATCTGTTGATGGACATCTAGGCTCTTTTCATAGTTTGGCTATTGTGGACATTGCTGCTATAAACATTTGGGTGCACGTGCCCCTTCGGATCACTACGTTTGTGTCTTTAGGGTAAATACCCAGTAGAGCTATTGCTGGGTCATAGGATAGCTCTATTTTCAGCTTTTTGAGGAACCTCCATGCTGTTTTCCAGAGTGGCTGTACCAGCTTGCATTCCCACCAACAGTGTAGGAGGGTTCCCCTTTCTCCGCATCCTTGCCAGCATCTGTCATTTCCTGAAAGTATTTTATTTGATATGAGTATACCTACCCTCATTTTTTCCCCCAGTTTCATTTGTAATGTGTATATTCTCCTGTCCCATCACTCTCTGTGTCTTTAGACCTGAAGTGAGTCTTCTGTAGGCAGCTAATAAATTGACCTTTTTTTTAATCCATTCACTCAATATCTTTTGATTGAAGCATTTAGTGCATTTACATTTAAAGTAGTTATTGATAGGTATGTACTCACTGCCATTTTGTTAATTGTTTTCTAGGTTTTGTAGTTCTGTTTCTTCTTCTCTTGCTCTTTTCCCTTGTGGTTTCTTTAGTGTCATGCTTAGATTCCAGTTTCTTTACTTTTTTGTATTAATTATGGGTTTTTGGTTTGTGTCTGATTGCCATGGGGTTCATATGTAACATCCTGTGTGTATAGCAGTCTATATTTGGTTGCTGCTCAAATTCAAACACATTATAAAAGCATATTAAATTTTTATTACCTCTTCCATGTTTTATATATGTTGTATTTTGCATGTTTTTATTTTGTGTATCCCTTGATAATTTTTGTATATATAATCGAACCTCCTTACTAGTTTGTAAGTGAACACCCCACTGGATGTGGCAGTGCAGGTGCCTATGGGCAGGTGGGTTGGATGGGCTGGCTTTTCAGGGGAAAACAGGGACAGGCAAAAACGTGGAGCTAGCAAGATAGATGGAGAGTGTCAGAAATGGCTCCCTAGAGAGCCAGAGTGGGGGGCAAGAAAAATAGCACTGGCCACACTTTCATTCCAGAGAACAAAGGTCTGCAGATCCCTGCCCCTCTGGCATACATCCTGAAGTTAATCAGTAAATCTTTACCTATGTATGCCAAGCGCTTTTCAAACTCCTGCACCTGTGCTCTGCCTTCGGCCATTATTTAGCATGCTGGCTATTTAAGGGCGGAGACATCATTTCCTATAGCTCTTTAGCTCCCCGAGTCAGCTGCACTGGTTTTTAAAACTCCCAGAATGAAGTCCTGATGATTTCAAAGCCAGATGTTTTAGGAACCTGCCTTCACAATGTGGATCCCTCCCCCAGGGCCCAGGATACCCAGCGTAGGGCTGGATACCCTCACTCCTTTGTGCCCATGATGTCCCTACCATTTGTGGAGAGTCCCACCTGGGGTTTAGGTCCCGATTGTGTCTGTACCCCTCCTCATGTGGCCTTCTCTCCAGGTCTAGCTGTGGAAGGCCTGTTCTGCCGGTTGTCAGAGTGGGTTGCAGTATGTGTAGTTGTTGCCTCACTGCAGGGGAAGGAGGTGAGTTTGGGACCTTTTCTGCCCACCATCTTCTGGGTCATCCTGTAGATTCTTAAATGCCCAGGTAATTCTGATGTGCAGCTGAATTTAGAAACCACTCGATTGAGATTTTGTCCCTCAGGTCATTATGATTTCAGCTAGGGTTGCCATTAAAACAGGAATGGGCGTGTTCTTTTTCACCTCTACCATATTCCTTCAGTGGGTATTTTTTAAGTACTGTTATATTCTAGACACCGAAATATAGCATTATTGTGAATCTTAGAGTACTGTGATAAATCAGAAATGTGAATGTGAGGTTTTCAGGGATCACACATGGTGGTTGTACATAAAAATCCAATCGTATATTGTTAGGTTGAGAAAAAAATTTTAAGATTTTGTTTATTTTAGAGAGAGAGCGGGGAGAAGGACAAGCAGACTCTGCATGATGTGGGGCTCCATCTCACAACTCTGATGACATGACCCAAGCTGAAACCAGGAGTCGGCTACTTAACTAATTGAGCCACCCTGGTACCCCTGGTTTTTCATTCTTGCATATTTCCACTGATGTTCAAAGCGTTGTTATAAATTTAAATGTTTATTTTGAAGATGATATATGCCTATGTAGTGATAGTGGCTGAAAATAAATTTAAAAAGCAGACTTCATGATGAGCAGTAAATTTGATACAAATGGAGTAAAAATATTCAAATTTATTATATCTGTCATTATAAACTGGAACTAGTCTCAAAGGATAAGAACAGTTTATGCATTTATTCAACATTTATTGAGCATGCTAGGTGCTGGGAATGTATTGGGAATAACACACAGGAATAGTGAGTTTTTGCCCTCAGGGTACGATAATGGAGAGATACAAGATACAGTGGGTTACACTGGGAAGTGAAGGGAAGGAAAAGTACTCCAATGGAATGATATAATGGTATAATGAGATCTGCAGGAGAAACAGGCAGAGAAAGGTAAAAGCAGTTAAGGCTTCACAGCAAGATGAGCAAAAGCCCTGGGGAGCCTATATTCCAGGAGCACCTTGTGTGTTACTAGAATCAACGTTGATCACTGGAGTGGGGGAACAGAGGAGGGGATTGAGGGGGGTGAGGATACACCAGCACGAAGCTGCCAGAGGATTTTCAGTGCAGAGGGAGGGAGATGGGAGGTATGATCCAGTTTACTCAAGCAGAATCTCAGAAACATTTTACTGGAGAGCAGAAGTGAGATGATAAGAGGCAGGATCAAATGAAATGTTGATCAGCAAGGACAGGTAAGAGTTGATGAGGACTGAAGAGAGACAAGAGAGGCTTAGTTCTAAAGATGTGTGGCTTCCACAGGTCAGGCCTTCAGTTTGCAGCCTGCTTGCAACTGAGCCTCATTCCTGGTTTAGGGAATGGTAATCCTTAGAAGACACAGAAGATACTGAAGTAGAACTTGACTTCACTTCTCTATCTTCTTGAAGAAAGTACATGGTTTTGTTTAAGTCCTGAAGTACCTCAATCTCTTCCTTCAGTTGCTGCTGCCTTTCTTCAAATTGATGGATTTTTTTCTGTATTGCTATGATAAAAAAAAAAAAAAAGAAATTTCAGGTTAGTATACTGTTTTATAAACAATGTACTGTTTTTAGCCTCTTTCACTTGCAAGTGCGTAATACACACTTTGTGCCCCAAATGAAAAGAATCTAGGGCCTTGTGAGCAGGAACTGGTTCTTTTATACCTTTGCTTCCTCTTCGAATTCAGGACAGAATTCTAGTTTTTATCACATAAAGCCACTCAGTACATCTTTAGAGCTTGAGACCCCTTTGTATATATTTGAGAACTCAGAAGCAGAAACTGTATAACTTTCATGCTACACATTACCCATTTGTTGAGAGATAATAAGTGGAAAGAGCACGTGATGAGAATATCAAGATAAGGGCAAATCTTTCATAAAAATGCATCCAATTTTTAATGTTACATGAAAGCTTTTGGTTTTGTTTAGAAATAGGAAGGCCTTTACGGTGGAAACTTAGGAAGAAGATACTTTAATTAGGCTTTAAAAATAAGAGTATTACTCAGTGACAGTGTCATTTTTTGAAAACTTCAAGGTTGAAGAATACCAAAACACACATACAAGCTTTCTCTAGAATACCTGTAGTTAACTGTCTGGAACGTTAGAACTGAGCAACATTAAACTAAGTAAGAGTCTGTATCAGTAGGGATGTCAAGTTAGGTCTTTTAGAAGTTGGTTCTAATGCAATTTCAAATAGTGTCTCCTCCTGGTGCCCCACTCCCCCCAAGTACTACACTGTAACGTATATCCTCCCAACTAACCCATACATGTAGTGGAAACGTGAATTATATATGAAAGAAAAGTAACAGAGATGAAAGTCCCCTACAAAATAAGGCTTTTTAGAAAAAGATTTTAAGGGCTGCTTTTTTTCTTTATCTTTTTTTTTTTTTTAAACTTATAATGTATTATTTGTTTCAGGGGTACAGGTCTGTGAATCATCAGGCTTACACAATTCATAGCACTCACCATAGCACTTACCCTCCCCAATGTCCATCACCTAACCACCCTATCCCTCTCACCCCCTTCAGTTTGTTTCCTGAGATTAAGCGTCTCTTCCACTTTGTTTCCCTCTCCTGGTGCCATCTTGTTTCATTTTTCCCCTCCCTTCCCCCCACAATCCCCCACCCTGCCTCTCAAATTGCTCCTATCAGAGAGAGAATACGGTAATTATCTTTCTCTGATTGACTTATTTCACTCAGCATAATACCCTGTAGTTCCATCCCCATCGTTGCAAATGGAAGATTTCTTTTTTTTGATGATTGCATAGTATTCCATTGTATATATACACCACATCTTCTTTATCCACTCATCTGTTGATGGACATCTAGGCTCTTTCCATAGTTTGGCTATTGTGGACATTGCTGCTATAAACTTTCAAGTGCACATGCCCCTTTGGATCACTATATTTGTATCTTTAGGGTAAATACCCAGTAGTGCGATTGCTGGGTCATAGGGTAGCTCTATTTTCAACTTTTTGAGGAACCTCCATGCTGTTTTCCAGAGTGGCTGTACCAGCTTGCATTCCCACCAACAGTGTAGGAGGGTTCCCCTTTCTCCGCATCCTCTCCAACATCTGCCATTTCCTGATCTGTCGTTAATTTTAGCCATTCTGACTGGTATGAGGTGGTATCTCACTGTGGTTTGATTTTTATTTTCCTGATGCCAGGTGATATTGAGCACTTTTTCATGTGTCTGTTGGCCATTTGGATGTCTTCTTTGCAAAAATGTCTGTTCATGTCCTCTGCCCATTTCTTGATTGGATTATTTGTTCTTTGGGTGTTGAGTTTGATAAGTTCTTTATAGATTTTAGACACTAGCCCTTTATCTGATATGTTATTTGCAAATATCTTCTCCTATTCTGTGGGTTGTCTTTTGGTTTTGTTCACTGTTTCCTTTGCTGTGCAGAAGCTTGTTATTTTGATGAAGTCCCAATGATTCATATTTGCCCTTGCTTCCCTTGCCTTTGGTGATGTTTCTAGGAAGAAGTTGCTGCAACTGAGGTTGAAGAGGTTGCTGCCTGTGTTCTCCTCAAGGATTTTGATGGGATTCCTGTCTCAAATTGAGGTCTTTCATCCATTTTGAGTCTATTTTTGTGTGTGGTGTAAGGAAATGGTCCAGTTTCATTCTTCTGCATGTGGCTGTCCAGTTTTCCCAAAACCATTTGTTGAAGATACGTTTTTCCATTGGACATTCTTTCCTGCTTTGTTGAAGATTAGTTGACCATAGAGTTGAGGGTCCATTTCTAGGCTCTCTATTCTGTTTCATTGATCTATGTGTCCGTTTTTGTGCCAGTACCATACCGTCTTGATGATTATAGCTTTGTAATAGAGCTTGAAGTCTGGAATTGTTATGCCACAAACTTTTCAACATTCTTCTGGCTATTTGGGATCTTTTCTGGTTCCATATAAATTTTAGGATTATTTTTTCCATTCCTTTGAAAAAAGTTGATAGTATTTTGATAGGGATTACATTAAATGTGCAGATTGCTCTAGGGAGCATAGATATTTTCACAGTATTTGTTCTTCCAATCCACAAGCATGGAATGTTTTTCCAGTTCTTTGTGTCTTCCTCAATTTCTTTATAGTTTTCTGAATACATATGCTTGCCTCTTTGGTTAGATTTATTCCTAGGTGTCGTATGGTTTTGGGTGCCATTGTAAATGGGATCAACTCCTTAATTTCTCCTTCTTCTGTCTTGTTGTTGGTGTATAGAAATGCAACTGATTTCTGTGCATTGATTTTATATCCTGATACTTAACTGAATTCCTGTATGAGTTCTAGCAGATTTGGAGTGGAGTCTTTGGGTTTTCCACATAACATCATATCATCTGCAAAGAGTGAGAGTTTGACTTCTTCTTTGCCAGTCTGGGTGCCTTTTATTTCTTTTTGTTGTCTGATTGCTGAGGCTAGGACTCTAGTACTATGTTGAATAGCAGTGGTGACAGTGGACAGTCCTGCTGTGCTCCTGACCTCAGGGGAGAAGCTCTCAGTTTTTCCCCATTGAGAATTATATTCACTGTGGGATTTTCATAGATGGCTTTGATGATATTGAGGTATGTACCCTCTATCCCTACACTGTGAAGAGTTTTGATCAAGACAGGATGCTGTACTTTGTCAAATGCTTTTTCAGCATCTATTAAGAATATCATAATGGTTTTTGTTATTTCTTTTATTAATGTATTGTATCATGCTGATTTGTCGATGTTGGAGCTTAAAGGCTGCTTTTAAAAAATACGTGGGTACTCACATTAGCAGTGAGCAGACGTTCTCAAGAGACTGTTAAAGGATAGGCTGATTATAAATGTAATACAAAATCTGAATGGAGAGTAGGACGCTGTGGTTGTGCAGCTTTAGGCAGAGCTGTTCACACTCAGTTCTGTGTCCCACTCCGGCCAGGATGTGCAGTGCACAGCCTGTCCAGCTGTGTGGAGGCTTGATAAGAGAAGTCAGATCAAACTCATCCGTAAGTGGAAATTTAGCTGGTTTTGAAAGCATCTTAAAGGTGGGAGGACCTATCCCTGAATGGTTGAAGTATTATTACATACAGTGTCCTATTAGTTTCAGGTGTACAATATGATTCAACAAAACCTTTCTATAAAATATCAACCACTTAAGTCCCTGCCCCCACCAGCCTTGCTTCTTTTTCAAAAATGTCTCGCCTGGTTTTTTCTTGCTCGTCCTTAGAATCAGTGAATTGCAACCCTCCTTCCCCCAGTTAGACTGAAGATTAATATTGGGAGAACTAAGATTTGTACACATCCAATCAAGTGAGAGGGAGTCAAGCAGCAGTGTGGTCACGGCCTTGCCACCTCCCCAGCTCCTGCTGAGTCCCGAACATGGGGCCCAACAACCTCCCATTTTGCAAAGGTTTAAAAGAGTAGAAACAAAAAATTGAGTTTTTTCTGATGACTAAGGTATTGCATATACCAATGTGGAAAATCTAATGCAGCACTGTCCAGCCACCTACTGCTAACTACTATTCCCATTTGGGTATATTTTCTGTGGGTGTGTGGGCTCCTATTGCTATGTGGTGGGCTTTTTTCATTTAGTAAGATGATGAACGTTCTTCTAAAATGATTTTTATCACTTTATACACAATACACAATAGTATTATATTACTTCAATATATGTAAATTATGCTGCTTGGTTAAAATTCACCTACTTGCTTGAAAATTGACAAATGTGTCTTCAAACAATTTACAGTCAAAAAGTGAAGTCCCGATTTCTTCATAGTCTGTAGGGAGAAAAACATTTTCAGTTTTAATTTTCGTAACTGATGTAGGCAGAGACCCCTTACAAACTAACTCCAGGTAAAGGAAGTACACAGAACAGTCCAGCACTGCGCAGCGTCCTCCCCGGGGACATGGTGGAGATGCACATGCGGAGGTGGCTCTGCTGCCACCTCCGAAGCTGCAGGGAGAGGCCCGCTCACGTGTGGTAACAAGCCCACCAGGGATTCTGAGGGGATCATGTTTGAGAAGTACTTAGTCTCCGGTAAAGAGGAAATGAATGAAAAAGTAATGAATGAATTTTTGGATGTTTGCTTTTAATTTCACTTTTTAGTTTTGTCCTATAGAAAATAATCCCTTTCAAATAATTATATACCTTACTTTGGGGCCTACAGTATAGACTGTCAAGTTTTTCCTTGTAAAATAACTGCATTTATCATGGTTTTTAAGCTTACACTGTAGGGTCTAAGAAAGCTAAGTGGCTATATACCTGCACATACAAATGGAACTTTGGCTTCCCAAAGAGCTCCTTCTGAAAGGTCACGTTAACTAAGTGAGACATCAGACAAAACGTTCCTCTTTTCTTCCATAAGCTTTGAGTTGACATTATCAAAAAAGACATAAGGAACAGAATTTGAGTCAAATCCAAACTCTAATATAATGCTATTCTCAGATGTTAGCAGCAAGCGGTAAGGGGGCAGATGTGTGACTGCCTGTGTTTCTGAGTGTCCACATGCTGTCAGTGGTCACTCTCAGCTATGCACTTCTGCAAAACCCATCACAGCTTGCCGGGCACCAGGCTGCTGTTGCCTGAATTAATGAGTTTGTGAATTACCCACATCCTGTTGATACATAGAAGACTAGGGATCTGGAACAGTGAACTGTATTAAAGAATGACATAAAAGAAATTGCATAGAAAGAAAATGTGTACTTTTGGTTTGGTCTGTTTTAGAAGTAGGTTTGCAAGAAGTCTCTGCACGTAGAAATGTGGCTATTTCGGTACCTGAATCAGAAGCAGTGTCACCCAGGAGTCTTTCCTGAATCAAGTGAAGTTTGTCTACTATTTCTTCAAATAAATCATTAAGAAGCCCCACTTCCTTACATTTCTTAAGAAAGTCAATCTTCACAGTTGCATCTAAGAATAAGAAAAACATTTTAGGAGGAAATGATCTTAGGGTAGCTCTCATAAATCCCTTTATGGTCACTTCTTCAGACCTTGCCTGGTGCTGGATGAGCACAGTCAGTAGGATTATAAATACAGCACATTTATCTTTTTAAAGATTTTATTTGTCAGAGCACAAGCGGAGGGAGAAGCAGGCTCCCCGCTGAGCAAGGAGCCCAGTGCAAGACCACATCCCAGAACCCAGCATCTGATGACCTGAGCTGAAGGCTGCTGCTTAACCGACCGAGCCAGCCAGGCATCTCAGCACCTTTATCTTCTACTATAACTTCATCACACCTCATGTTTTCCTCATTGAAACAGTGTTACAAAAAGTGAAAATAAAAACTTCTCTGCTTAGCCTAATTATCTGAATCAAGAGGATTTTCTAAAATTTAGCTTCAGATTTTTGAGATAATAGCTCCCATCATTTTTTTCTGTCACAGTTACTGTGTGTCATTATGGGATGTTTATTTCCCTGACAGAAAAAGACAGTGAGTGGCTTCAGCTTCCTGGACCCCCTTTCTGGGGTCACAGTACAAGAGGTAGCAGGGGCCTGGATTCTGAGCTCAGGTAACCAGGAAGTATATCCTTTCTTTCTTTTTTTTTTTTTTTAAGATTTTATTTATTCATTTGACAGAGATCACAAGTAGGCAGAGAGAGGCAGGCAGAGAGAGAGAGGAGGAAGCAGGCTCCCCGCAGAGCAGAGAGCCCGATGTGGGGCTCGATCCCAGGACACTGGGATCATGACCTGAGCCGAAGGCAGAGGCTTTAACCCACTGAGCCACCCAGGCGCCCCAGTATATCCTTTCTTAATAGCAAAGAACAGTGGACCATCCCCATCTCAGTTACTTTGAGCTGGGGCTATGATAGAGTGGATAGTTAAAAGGTTTCTAAGAATTACTATAAGTCTAGACGAATCAAGTCGGATACCAACTTTGAAATAAATGGGTTATGTTTATAAGTACTGTAGGTCATATTTGATACAAAATTTATAGCAAACCTGTGTGTCTGCCATCCTCGTCCTTCATTTGTTTTATGACTCTGTCTAATAGCAACGTTTCAGGTAGCTAGAGGGAGAGAAAAATCAAGATTACACTGATTTACTGTTGACATTTAATACTGTGTAACATGAAAACCAGTCTTTTGTTACAAACAATTCAATGATATGCATGTGGTGAAAATCATGCCCCATATTCATTGGTAGTTTACATGTAAACATAAAATCATTTTTGTGTAACAAAACATCAAGAGGCATGGCAAACTCCTCTTGTATAAACAGTAAGAGGTGAAGGTTGCTGGCTCTTTTAATTTAGCTTATATGAGTATATGTTTAAAAAGTGGTCTCTAATCCCCAAAACATTTCATTCACTTTGCACAAAACAGTAATACGGAAAACTATGAAAATTATAGATTAGGTCAAAGTGTGCATCACGCAGCTGAGAAATTCTTGGTTGGGTAAGGATGCTTTACTGCAGCTCTGCCCCTCTGAAGGCCCTAAGCACACCACGGGCTCCGACACATTCACTGATGTGGTGCATGTGTTATCGGAGCCATGGACTGTCGCCTCCTGAAGGTCATGTGCTGGGATACCCAACACATCCAGCCTTTATATGCATCTCATTATGGTTCTGTTACAATTTCACCAGATATGTGAATGTTTAAAATAAGGAAGAAACTGTGTGAAGAAACTGAAAGCTATAGTAAAATGAAGTCAAATTACCTGTACATGAATGTCTGTTGAGAGACGTTTCTTCCTTCCTCTTTTTCTTTTCACTCCTGAAAAATCAGTTGAAAATATAAATCATGTAGAAACCAGAATCCATAAAGGAAAAGACTGATGCTTGACTACATAAAATAGAAAACTGTTCTATGCTAAAAGTTATTACAAAGTCAAAAGATACAACAAACATGGCACTAAATGTTTGCAACACTTACAATAAAGCACCAATTTTCAATATAAAAATCTTATAAATCAATATAAAAAAGATGAGTAGAAAAATAGGCAAATGGGAAACCCTCTAGGAAGAGTTCATTAAATAGAAAGACTGTCACAGGAAAACAGATACATTGATCAAAAAATAGGGGAATACACTGAATTTTACTCATAAATAAAGATATGCAAAATAATTTTCCACCTATCAGACTGACAAAGATGAAGGTGTTTAATATATAACGTTTGCAAGGATTGGGATAATTGCGTATGGTGGGGCATCCTCTTTGGAAGAGAATTAGCCAGTTATCACGGTTTCATTATTTATACTTTTTGACCTAGCAATCTACACGAAGTTTTCCAAATGGCACAGCTGCATAAAGGCACAAAGATGAGAAAAATGCTAGCGACACTGAATCAATGTCGCTGAATCAATCTATTCTATCAATGAATAGATTGAATCAATATATTCAATGTGATAGAAACAAAAATAGAAATAACCTCAGTGTCCATCATCAGAGACTACTTCAGTTGTAATTCAGCTACACAACTGAATAACACAATGGGGTATTATGCGCCTTTCAGAAATGAGGTAGATCCATTTGTACAGATAAGGAAGGATGTCTGAGTGAAAACAAAATATAGCAGTAGGTATATTTTGTTTTTAAAGGAAATTTTTATAAGTATTCAAATGAAACTGAGTTTCTTCTGGGGAGAGGATTCATAACCGTGTTATAATCTGCTTTTAAAAACGATTAAAAAATTTTTTTTAATTTAAAATATTGGGGCACCTGCGTAGCTCAGTTGAGCATCTGACTCTTGGCTCGGATCATGAGATTGAGCCCTGTGTCTGGCTTCATGATGAGTGTAGCGCCTGCTTGAGATTCTCTGTCCCCCTCTGCCCCTCCCTTCCAGTTCATGTGTACTCTCTTAAAAAAAAAAAAAATTTAAAAATTAAATAAGACTACATTCTTGTTACCTTTCCCTATCAGTAAACACTGGTTGAAACTATATTTTTTATAATAATTTCTGATAAAAGTGTGTACTGACTGAAAAATGAGGGTAACAATACTGTTTAGAGAGTGTTGTTTACCACTAAAAAATGCAGTTGGCATGACACAGAACTAAGCCTTTTCCAAAGAGGTCCTGTCTCTGGCCCACAGTAAACATTCCAGATTTAGTGCTGGTGAGACACTGCTATTCATGCGGCACAGAGGCCATTCATGAGTGAATGTACATCTCGTAACTCCAGTTAGCCAGGGCCCAGCTTTCCTTAATTATAACTGAAATGCTAATCATGTATTCTTAGGGAATTTTAGGGAATATGCAGCAATTTATCAATTTTATGTACTGGAAATTCTGATATTCTTTTAGAAGAGAAGCAGTCACAAAAGTCAAAGGTTTTTACCACGTCCTCGTTTGGCCCTCTGATTGTAGTGAGGATGTAAGATTCCAGCCAGAGAATTTCCTGGGAGTAGGTCTAGTTTGCAAAGAAGAAAAATTAGTCCATTATATTGCACACTGCACAAAGAAACTGGCAATTTTGTAAATATATAAAAATTTAACTCAAAGGGCGCCTGGGTGGCTCAGTGGGTTAAGCCGCTGCCTTTGGCTGGGGTCATGATCTCAGGGCCCTGGGATCGAGTCCCGCGTCAGGCTCTCTGCTCAGCAGGGAGCCTGCTCTCTCCTCTCTTCCGCCTGCCTCTCTGTCTACTTGTGATCTCTCTGTCAAATAAATAAAAATCTTAAAAAAAAAAATTAACTCAAAAATTTGTATTTAAGTCAGGGAGGCTAGTAAATCAAATCAGGATATTCCATGTCTTACCTAAATGTATACCTTTCTTTAAACCCATAGTAGTAAATTTTAGAGACTTACCATTATGAGCGTTGTTCAGTGAAGCATGTTGTTTGCAAAACACTCTGAAACATGCAATTTCAAAGAACTGTTAAGTATTTTTACTTACATTTTTAACTATTATGCCTATTATGACTTAAAAATGAACCTATTTTTCATGATGGCTTTACCCTAAATATCTGCGAAAGAAAAATGCTGTCCGAAGCTGTGTAAGTTACTGACCCTCATCAAATGCGGACGGAGCCTCTCTCAGATGTCTTTTGTGCTCTGAGCCCTCAAACTGGTATGCTCTCAGAAGGAGTGCGTGTGAAACATTTGAACAATGGTAAGTAACTCATATATAGTGGTCAGTTGGATTTTACTGTATAAAGAAAGATATCTAAAGATCCAACGTCTAAGGTACATTTTCATCTGACTACACAAAGTTCTACTGATCTTCAATAATAAATACCACAAAATCGCATGCATGAATTTTGGGGAAAGTAGTTTTCTAACTCAGCAGCTATATCCCCCAAACTTTAGAGCTAAATTGCATGCATCTACATTGGATCAAGGGCAGGGAAGGAAAGCAAGCAGCACAGTTGGCTATGAAGAAGAAATGGAGTGAGTGAATTTTGAGGAGCTGCTTAGATCCCATTTCTTCCCCAGGCTCTATCCTCCTCAGCCCCAGCTAGGTCTCCCTTCCTTTCCTTATGGTGCTGAGCTTCAGAAGACAGGATCCCTCTTGCCTATGGGAACCGTACGAATTCTTCAGTTTCCACCTCTTACATGCAATCTTCCTGGCAACCCATCCCTGCCCCAAGTAAAATTTAATCTCACCCTTTGGATTCCAGTATCTGAACATTTTCGTCTGCCAGGCACTTTTTTTTTTTTTTAATGGAAAATGTCAAATGTATCTAAAAGTGGAGGAGAGATGATGAGCCCCATGGCTCCCTACCCATCACTCAGTTTCAACAATCATCAACTCAAGGCCAAGCCAGTTTCATGCAAATCCCCTCCTGCTCTCATCATGCCATGAGCCTCTGTTGGTTCTGGCCTCTCTGGTCCTTTCACAAGGTACTAGGTTCTCTGAGATTAGCCCATGTCCTGTTCCTCTTTATATTCTTACTGCACCTAGCGAGATATCTTGTGTATGATAGGCACTCTAACAACTGAATATTTAAATTCAATTAAAAAGTGCATCAAAGTTCACCTGATACTTGATAATGACAAAAATGATTATTTCATTGAGTCTCCATTCATTGGTTCTACAAGACCAATATGCTTGCAATTTTAAGATATAGTGGGAATTGATTCCTTTTTGCTCAGTCTTGTAGCTTTCCTAATAGTGTGTCTACTGGGTGTTTGAGGTCACTATGGAAATCATAATAAAATGAACTCTTTGAGAAGGTTAAAAAAATAAGAATAATACAATCTGAGTTTCTGAGCAAATCAAATATAAAAAGTATGGTATAAAAGTAACAAGATTTACACTTTCCTTTCTAGTCTGAAGCAATAAAGTACCTATGGAACTTGCTCAAAGTCATGTAAAATTATTTTTTAAATCCCTTTTAATAATAGGCTTGCCCATGTTGTTTTAGAATATAGGCCCTTACTTCGGCTCAGGTCATGATCCCAGGGTCCTGGAATCGAGCCCTGCGTCAGGCTCTCTGCTCAGCGGGGAGCCTGCTTCCCTTCCTCTCTCTCTGCCTGCTTGTGATCTCTGTCAAATAAATAAATAAAAATCTTAAAAAAAAAATAGACTATAGGCCCCTAAGCCTGAAGAGGATATGGTGGTGAAAAGCAAGAACTCCAGAGCCCTAAAGGCCAGCTCAGCCACTCATCAGCTGTGACCTGGGGACAAATGACTAAGTCTCATAGGACCTCGGTGTCTGCATCTGTAAAGCAGGGATAATACTTCACTGGGCTGTTACGAGGATTACATGGGTTAACATTTGTAAAGTACTTGAAAGTATTTTTGGCACAAAGAGAGTGATTATTAGATAAAACAGTGTCGTTAGTACCTGAAACACTGATGAAACTGGGGGTGTGTGCCCAAAGGGAAAAATCTAGCTTCCAAATCCAATTTTAAAATACTTAGGCTCTCACAAAATCGTTATTAAAAAGATAATGCTCTCATTCAGAATATTGTGAATGAAAATATTATTTCACTGTAATTTAAAATACTCCATCAGAGTGTATGCACATGCCCCAAAGAAGTGAGAAGCAGCTGCCTGGCTTTTCAACTTCAGACCATCATTTAATTTTTTATTTCATTTCATAACTTTAAAAAAGGTTAAAACTTCTTCTAGATCTTTTTATATGACGTTTTATTTTTTTTAAAGATATATTTATTTTTTTATTTGACGAGAGTGAGAGAGCACAAGTGGGGGAGAGGGTGAGGGAGAAGCAGGCTTCCCACTAAGCAGGCAGCCCAATGTGGGACTCGATTCCAGGACCCTGAGATCAGGACCTGAGCCGAAGGCAGACACTCAACCAACTGAGCCACCTAGGTGCCCCTATATGACATGTTTTAGACTGCATCCACATACCAAAAAACTGAACATGACCTGAATCAATTCAGTTAACAACTGGCTTATTGATTTCATCTAAATTGTCTAATTATTTAACTGAACTGCAATCTTTCATCAGAAGGAGGATCAAGTTCCTTCCTGGATAGAACAAATACAATTCTATTGGACTTGAAATATGTCTTACTGGGTGAAAATTAACATTAAAGAATTACTGAAAGAAGGGAAGCAAGATTTAAAAGCCCAAGGCAACTGAAACAGGACTAATTTGTTCAAGAACTTAATGACTGATTACTATATTTGCTGCATAGTTTATCATTTCTAAAAGCTCTTCATAGGTAAGACAGTGGTGAGAGTGGTGGGAAAAAACATTCATTCAACAGACAAGATGGATAAACCATGGACTTGTGGCTAACAAGACTCCTGTTTGCAGAAGAGAGCAACAGTGAACTGGTTCCAGGTCCTGTGAACACCCATTAGGTCACTCATGCCAGTATGGCAACCAGTGCTTTCTACTGGGAAAGAAGGCATGTAGGAAGATTAAAATAAAAAACAATTCTGCTTATTTTCTTTCTATAATATTGAGGGAAGGTATTGTGAGGTCAGGGTGCCAACTGAGCATCCCCCAAACCCTGTTCTTACTTGGAAACCATTTGCATGAAATTATCTTTAAAAATCTCCTTGTGGGGGTGCCAGGGTGGCTCAGCTGGTTTAACATCTGCTCAGGTCATTATATCAGTGTCGTGGGATGGAGTCCCCATAAGGCTACCTGCTCAGCAGGGAGACTGCTTCTCCCTCCCTTTCTCTCTCTCTTTTGCTTGCTTGCTCTCAAATAAAAATCTTTTAAAAAGTATCTCTTTGTCTTGGGGCCCCTGCGTGGTTCAGTTAGTTAAGTGTCTGCCTTCAGCTCAGGTCATGATCCCAGGGTCCTAGGATTGAGTCCCGCAGCGGGCTCCCTGCTGGGTGGGGAGTCTGCTTCTCCCTCTCCCTCTGCCTGCCGCTCCCCCTGCTTGTGCTCTCTGTCAAATAACTAAGTAAAATCTTTAAAAAAAAAAAAAAATCTTTGTCTTAATCTAACCATTCCTTATTCCGTTCCCCCAAGTGTAGCTTTAGAACTGTTTAATTATACATACTTAAAAATTCCTTGAGATTTATCAGTTTGTAGAACTGCGTCGTCATTCTTGGCACAGAAAAAGTGGTAACTCTTGTTACAGGCTTTTAAATCACATCCCACGGTGGCTCCTCCTTTTTTACAAAATGCACATTTCTACAGAAGAATAAATTTTACTGAGTAAGCACCTGTTTAATTTCTGTTAACATTTAAAGTTAAAGATGTCATTAAATGTTATTTTTAAGTCAGCAGCCCTAATGTCCTCAGTCACAAATGTTAGGTATTAACATCTAGCTGCTCATTTTGAGATTTCAATAAAACCTCTGCTAAGTAAAGTACTTGGTTGGCACTGACCTGTAATGATCTGATTAAAAGCAGAAAACCCTTTTGTTTTAAAACAAACAAAACCTTTCTCTTTTTACAGGAGATTTCTACAAAAAGATTTGTCCTGACTAGGCAAAGGGTCCTGTTAGGGACACTGGGGCCCATGGCGAGGGTGGCTCCTGATGGTGCCTCGGAGAGCTGTGTGATCCAGCAGTCTTTCCCTCTCTTAGACCCAGATCCTTCCCTGGGGAGAACACTGCCTGTCTCATAGTTTCTACTGAGGACAATGTGAGATAAATAAGTGAAACCTCTCTGGAGTCTATGTAGTTGGGCCAAAAACCTAAAATTAAAATAAACCCTGAGTAGCAAATTTTTTCTAAGTTCAATTTATTTGATCTCTTGCTTTTATATATTAGTCAGTTGATCTGGCATTTTATATATTGAAGGTGGTGTAGACATGGCTAGGACAGTATGTGGCCACAGCAATCTAACTGGTTTGGCGAGGGCGGGGGGGTGTCTCAAACCATGCCCAAGGTTGATTTGATTTGATTCAGGCTTTGTCTGAATGAAGGGGAAGCACAATGAAACCACCTTGCAAAATAGGAAATAGCTCAAACAATATCCTAAGGTCAGCACAAGCAACCATACACATAAAGAAAATTCAAATATGGGTAAGAAATTAGGTTACGCTCAAGGTGGAATTTCAAATCACAGCACAAAGAAAGATTTAATTTGGGGGGGCATCTGGCTTTATGTGTAGAAAAAAATAAAGTTACATCCCTACCTTATAATCTTTTCCCAAATAAATTCCACCTGGATTAAGGCTCTGAGAGACAAGTTTTAAAGTTAATAAAAATGTATGGGGTTAAGGTCAGGAAGACTATGCAAGGAAGGAAACTCAGAAGCCACAGAGAAAAAGACTGATAGATATGACTACATAAAAAATTTAAACTTCCATTTTTATGGTGACATCTACCAAAAAGCCAAAATTTTTGAAAACAGAAACAGACTCATTAATACAAAGAACTGGTGGGGTGAAGGGGTTAAGAGGTACAAACTTTCAGTTACTAAAAATACAAATCACAGGGATATAATGCAGAGCACAGAGAATACAGTCAATGATACTGGAATATGGTGATGGATGATAATTGGGCTTATTGTGGTGATCATTTCATAATGTATATACATGTCAGATCACTGTGTTGTATGCCTGAAACTAATATTGTATGTCAACTGTATCAATAAAGAAAGAAATGTTTGCTGCATATTTGATAAAGGGTTAAGACTGATAAACTCAGAAAAAAATGAGAAAAGGCAAATTACAGAAGAAACACAAATGGTTAATAAAATTTCATTCACTTAAAGACTACTGAGTAACTGTGATGTGGCAGGCACCGTTCTGGGGTAGAGGGAAACAGCAGGGGACAAGGCACCCGTCCTTGTGAAGTTAACATTCTAGTGGAGAGAGAAAACCAAGGTCACATAAAGCAAACTTAAAAACATAACAATACGTGTGTTGTAAGTATCTTTTCCCAATCTGAGTTTTGTTTCTTTACTCTCTTTAATGATATCTTTTAATGAACTTAAATTTCAATTTTAACATAAATAAATAAGAACAGCTCTAGCACTTTTAGGGATAAGACTGCCGACATCAACATTTACCACCCCATACAGGGTGGCCTGATGTTGGAGTGAAGAGGAGGGCAAGTGAAGAGTCAGAGGTAAGATCCAAAGGGTAAGGGCTGGGTCATGTAAGGGGTTACAAACCAGGGTAAGGTATTGGGGTTTTTGTCTTCATACAATGGGAACAAAAAGTGATCAGTTTTTTTAAATTTTATTTTTATTTTATTTTTTAAAAAAGACTTTCTTTCCTTTCCTTTCTTTCTCTCTCTTTCTTTTTCCTTCCTTCCTTCCTTCCTTCCTTCCTTCCTTCCTTGTTTACTGAGAGAGAGAGAACATGCTGAGGGAGGGGGAGAGGGGGAAGGAGAAGGAAAGAATCCCAAGCACATTGAGTGTTGAATGCAGAGCACAGAGCCTAGCATGGTGCTCAGTCTCATGACCCTGAGATCATGACCTGAACTGAAATCAAGAATCAGATGTTCAATGAACTGAGCCCAGGGGGTCCCAAGTGATCAGTATTTTAAAGATACTATTGTGGCTGTGTGGAGCATAGGCTGGGGTAGGGATGGGCAGGAGAGCATGCAGAACAAAGATCAGTGATGTTTAGCAAGTGTTTGAGGGAGACCCATGACTTTACTACAGGGGGTTAGTGACAGAGAGAAGGGGAGGATCGAGAGTCTGCAGGCTGGATGCCGGGCTGGGCTGTTTATGAGAAGATGATGATGGATGAATGGTGGACAGTTCACTGAGGTGAGGAGTGAATAGGTTTGGATGGTGTGTGTGTGTGTGTGTGTGTGTGCAGGGGCTGGGACTGTGTTCACTGGCCAGTTTAATATGAGCTTCTATTAGATGTTTGTGTAGATACGTTAGGTTGGTTATCATGACTGGAGGTCCAGAGTCCCTAGCATAAGTATGGACTTGAAGCCAAGGGAACTAGAAGAGGTCACACAGGAAAGATATTCAGATGGAGGCAGGAGCCCAGGAGAGCTATGGGGACTGCACACTTTAGAGGTTCAGAAGAGAAGGAAAAACAGCCAAGGTGTCTGGGATGAAGCAGCCAGAAAGGTGAGAGACATCGTAGCAGAGTGTGTGCAGGAAGTCAGAGGAAGAAAGTGCTTCAAGATGCAGGGCAGGGACAACTATGTGATGAATCCTGCTAAAAGATCAGCTAAAGACAGAAGTGACATTGTAGTTGAACAGGTTTTTTGTATACAGAGGAGGATTTAAGATGACATCATCAGTTGATCATGGATATATGCTGAAGGAAATAATCTAGTACAAAGGGGGATACTGATGTGAATGGGATGAAGGGAAATGCAAGAGGCTAATCCTTAAGGAGGGGCAGGTGATCACTCCAAAGTGTAAGTGGCGGGTTACTTTGACAAGCAGGAGGTCCCAGAGTCTGGGGAAAAAGGGGAATTGGCAGCGCTTTGGATAGTAGGAGTTCTGGCTAATGGCTCCCATTTCTCAATAAAAATCAGACAAAGATATGTATACCACCAAGGTGAACCCTAATGTAAACTATGGACTTTGGGTGTTTTGATGTTGTGTCCATGTAGGTTCGTCAGTTGTAACAATGCACCACTCTAGTGGGGGATGTTGATAAAAAGAAAGCTGTGTATGTGTGGGGGTGGGAAGTATATGGGAAGTCTTTGTACTTTCCCCTCAAGTGTTCTGTGAACCTAAAACTGCTCTAAAAAAATAAAGCCTATAAAAAAAAATAAGGCATAGTCATCAATTTGGGGATGAGCAGTTGGGGTGGGGAGAGGTTTTAAAAGAAATGAGAGAATATGAAACAGTAAAGGTAGAGGGTGGAGGGTGACATGTTAAGGTTCCTTTTGAGGTTTGTGGCTATGAATCTGAGATTAATCAACACATTTGTGGGTTTTTGTCCAGTTGTTCAACTGTTCAAGTGCTAGTACTACTCAGCATATGCAGACAACAGGCAGGGGGAGGGGGGCGGTTTGCTAGGTGAGTAAGGAAATGTGTGTCGGGGTGGTGGGGAGAGGGAGTCCAGGCTGTTTGCAGGACAGTGGCTGTGAGGTGGGGTCACTGACTGTAGAGGGATCACGAAAGAACTGCTGGGTCTGGGGGTGCTGGGAAGGAGGCAGATGCCTAAGGAGAGCTACCATTCAGCCTCTCTCTAGTGATGAGGGAAATGCAAGGTAACACTTCCTGTCAGATGAAAGAAGTAACAAGATTCGTGATACTCATTTTTGTTAAGGGCTAGGAAAGTATAAAGTATATAAGTATAAAATGATACAACCTTTCTGGGTGATGGTTTATTAGCATGTTTCAAAATTATTGTTTTTAAAAGATTTTATTTATTTGACAGAGAGAGAGTGAGAGCATGCACAAGCAAGGGGAGCAGGAGATGGGGGAAGCAGGCTCCCTGTAATGATCTGAGCTGAAGGCAGATGCATAACCGACTAAGCCACCCAGGTACCCTGCATGTTTCAAAATTATTAAAGGGACTTCTCTCTGACTCAGCCATTTCACTTCTGGGAATACAGTGTACAGCATTGTTCAAACTAGTACACAGGATATGTGTAGAAAGATGTTTACTGCAGCATTAGTTGATTATAGTGAAAAACCAGAGTCGACTCATTATCCAGCAACAAGGGAATGGTTTCATGCATTCTGGTCTATCCCGTGGAATCCCATGGAGTCAGTAAAGAGGGTGCCACAGTCATATCCTTATAGTTTTAGGCACATGCCATGTCTTTCTTGCCTTCCCAACTTTTGCACATCCTGTTCCCTTTCCCAGGAATTCCTCCTTTCCCATCTTCATTACCCTCACTCCTTCCCAGCTAGGAAGGCTTCTTGGGCCCCACCTGCACTAAGGTGCTTGATTGCTTGAGTGAACTGTGCTGACCCTTCTCAAAGTACATCAGGTTGTGCGGAAACTGCCCTCATATATGTGTATGCCTTGTAAAGACTAAGGAAATGTTTGTTCCAGATCATAAACTGTACTGTGGTGGTGGGCATAATGTGCTCACACCTTCTTACCACTTGCTAAGCCATGAAGGGCATTTCCTAGAGGAAGTCTACTGTCACAGAACCAACAGGGTAACTACTCCACACTCTGTCTTCCCAAGGGAAGCTGACCCAGGTCCAAGGGGGCTGATCCTGATTAATTATGGCCACTTCTAGCAACTAGAGCAGGTGTGGCCTCATTTAATTTTCAGAAGGGCTCTTATTCAATGCTTGGGGATGAACTTTTACTTTTTTTTTAAAGATTTTATTTATTTATTTATTTATTTATTTATTTGAGAGAGAGAGAGCGCGAGAGAGAAAGAGAGTACAAGAGTGGGGTGAGGGCCAGAGGGAGAAGCAGACTCCCCGCTGAGCAGGGAGCCCAATTCAGAGCTCAATCCCAGGACCTGGGGATCATGACCTGAGCCGAAAGGCAGACACTTAACCGACTGAGCCACCCAGGCACCTGGGATGAACTTTTTCTTTTACCAGATAGGAATAAGAAAGACGGACGGACACTTCAGGAGTTGTCTGTGACCACCCTATGACCACAAGAGGACCAGCTGATGTTGTGGACAGGATGACAGAAAGGAGGATGGGCTCTTGATGACACCACTAAGCCACTAAATCGACCAACTCTGAAGCCAGTGTTCTCTCTGGCTAAGTAAGAAAATAAGCATCCTTTTTGTTAAAGCCAGTTTGAGTTGAGGGTCCTTCTACTTACAGCCCAAAAGCATTCTAATGCATATCTACTCTGCTGATGAAGTATGTTGTAGCTCATTTTAAAATATTAATTGTTCAGTTGAATTTAAGTTTCCAATACAGGTCCTATGTCTTTCAGCTCTCCAAGATGCGTCTCTATCCCAGTTTATCAATCAAGTAGACTTTCTTTTGGAAACATCCCCTTCAAGATCTGTTTATCTCATATGACTAATAAAATCATTTATACTTACCAACTTCCTTCCTCTATGGATTTCTTTCTTTACTGATTCCACATCAAAATTTCTGTCTTTATTACATGGATCAGTATCCTCACATTCCACAAGTGCTGAAGAGTACAGCTACAAATTGAGAAAACAAAACTTCACAATATGCACAAAGTACCACTAAAAGCTGCAAGTCAGAAAATGGTATCACAAAATAATACTTACCAGGAGTGGAAGATGGATTGGGGTATAACAGTGACCACCTTTCGGGATATGTAAGCAGATCACAAACCACCCTGCTTTTCTCTGGAAGTGGCCCCAATCCCCAGGTATATTTTATACTGCTTAACCCTGACCCCCAGTGGTTAAGTGAATGTGGTTGGAGCCCTGACCTGAAGCTGAGCCAACTGGACTCCCTATCCTGAGAGAGTGGAGTAGACTCTGAGCCACATGGTAGAGAGCAAGCCAGTCTGCAAAGAGGAATACAGAAATGAGGTCAAGAGAGGACAGAATGGGTTCCTGATGGCTTCCTAGTCACTGTTCTTAGACCCGCCTGCATGCCGACCTTCAGGAGCCATGAAATGCCCCTACAGTCTGATTAAAAACCCACTTTTATGTTTAGGTTGCCTCAAGTTTCCATGTGCTACCTGAATCCAACCTATCTCTGAATTGAAGATCAACATTACAGAATGAAGTCACAAAGCAATCTACAGATTCAATGCAATTTCTACCAAAATACCAATAGCATTCTTCACAGAACTAGAGCAAAAAATACTGCAATTTGTATGGAACCACAAAGACCCCAAATAGCCAAAGCAGTCTTTAAGAACACAACTGGAAATAGCACAATCTCAGATTTAAAGATACACTACAATGCTATAATAATTGAAACAGTCTGGTATGGCATAAGGACAGATATATAGATCAATGGAACAGAATAGAAACACTAGAAATAAATGCATGATTTTATAGCCAACTAATTGTTAACAAAGGAGACAAGAATATACAACCGGGGAAAGACAGTCTCTTCAATAAATGGTACTGGGAAAGCTGGACACACACATGAAAAAGGATGAAACTGGGGGGCGCCTGGGTGGCTCCGTCGGTTAAGCAGCTGCCTTCGGCTCAGGTCAGGATTCCGGGCTCCTGCGATCAAGCCCTGCATCGGGCTCCCTGCTCAATGGGGAGGCTGCTTCTCCCTCTCCCTCTGCCTGCTTGTGCTCCCTCTCTCTCTGCCTGCTTGTGCTCCCTCTCTATTTCTCTAATAAATAAAATCTTAAAAAAAAAAAAAAAGGATGAAACTGGACCATCTTCTTACACCACATACAAAAATGAACTCAAAATGGATTAAAGACCTAAGTGTGAGACCTAAAGCCATAAAACTTCCAGAAGAAAACACAGGGAGCAATCTCTTAAATATAACCATGTGGCGCCTGGGTGGCTCAGTTGTTAAGCATCTGCCTTCGGCTCAGGTCATGATCCCGGGGTCCTGGGATCAAGCCCTGCATTGGGCTTCCCTTCTCCCTCTCCCCACTCCCTCTTCTTGTGTTCCCTCTCTTGCTGTGTCTCTCTGTCAAATAAGTAAATTTTAAAAAATAAACACAGCCATTACAACATTTTTCTAGATCTGTCCCCTCAGGGGAAGGAAATACAAACAAAAATAAACTATTGAGACCATACCAAAATAAAAAGCTTTTGCATGGCAAAGAAAATCATCAACAAAATGAAAAGGCAACCTACTAAATGGGAGAAGATATTTGCAAATGATATATCTGATAAGGAGTTAATATCCCAAATAGATAAAGAACTCCTTTGACTCAACAATAAAAAACCAAATAATCTGATTAAAAATGGGCAGAAGACCCCCCAAAATTTTCCAAAGATGTGAAGATGGCCAACAGACATATGAAAGATCCTCAACATCACTCAACATTAGGGAAAAGTAAATCAAAACCACAATGAGATATCACCTCACACCTGTGAGAATGGCTAGTGTCCAGAAGACAAGAAATAACAAGTGTCAGTGAGGATGTGGAAAAAAAGGAACTCTTAAGCACTGCTGGTGGGAAAGCAAATTACAGAGCCACTATGGAAAACAGTATGAAGGGTCCTTAAACAACTAAAAATAGAATACAATGCGATCCAGTAATTCCACTACTGGGTATTTACCCAAAGAAAATGAAAACACTGACTCAAAAAGATAGACTCATCCCTATATTTACTGTAGTATTATTTATAAGAGCCAAGATATGAAAGCAACCTAAGCATCCATTGGTAGAAGAATGGATAAAGAAGGTGTGGTATATGTGGCGCGTGCCACATACACCACATCATAAAAAAGGAATAATATCTTGCCATTTGCAATAACATGGACGGACCTGGAAGGTAACATGCTAAGTGAAATGTCAGAGAATGACATATACCATATGATTTTACTTATATGTGGAAACTAAAAATAAATGAACAAAAAAACAGAAACAGACCCTAAACAGACAATAAACTGGTTGTTGCCAGAGAGGAAGGTGGGAAGGCATGGGCAAAAAGGGTGAGGGGGAGTGGGAGGTATAGGCTTCCAGTGAGGGAATGAGTAAGTCACAGGGATGACAGGCACAGCAAAGGGAGTGTGTATCATCGCTGTATGGAGACAGACGGCTGTGCTTGTGGTACGCACAGCATGATGCGTAGAGCAGTAGAATTACTCAATATGTTTATGCCTGAAACATGTAACATTGGGTGTCAACCATATTTCAATTTTTTATACTACAATTTTTTTTTAAAGAGTAGTAGAAAAAGGTAATGAAACAATAACAACAACAACAAACCCAGGGAAAAGTTTAACCCAAAGTTCTAGACCTCTACAGAAAAAAATTATTGAACATTTCTGAAATTCATAAAAGAAGACATGAATCACTGGAGACAGCCTATTAATGGATGGAAATACTCATATCATTTTTTTTCTCAAATTCATCTATAAATTCAATGGAATCCCAGTTAAAATTTGTGTGAAACCTTGTAACACTGAAAAATAGCCATGGCTTATCATAAAATCATAGTAATTAAGACAATGTTGTACCAGCTTAGGGAGAGACAAAGTGACTGCTGGAACTGAATAGAACCAGAAACAGATCTGTGCACAAATATTATATTGTTAGCACACTGGATTAAGAGTGAGGGTTCTAGAAGTAGGCAGCCTGGGTAGGAATCCTGGCTCAGGTACTTACAGCTGTGTGACCTTGGGCAAGTGACTTAACTTCTCTGTGCCTCAGTTCTTTCATCTTTTCTTTGGGCATAATAATAATACCTACCTTTTAGGGTTGTTGTAAGGATTAATAGTTTAATACATCTTAAGCTCCCAGAACATTACCTTATGCCTGGTGAATTCTGAGTAATAATGATAACTATCATTATTATCCACTACAAATCAACGAGAAAAGAGCAGATTAGTCAATAAATAATGCTGGGAAAAGTGGTTAATCATATGAAAAACAAAAAGGGAGATGCCTACTCTACAGAGTAGTCCAAATAAATTCCAGTTGGATTAAGAATCTAAATGAGAAAAGCCAAATTTTAAAATTTGGGGGAAAAAAGGTAGAATCTTAGTAAATGAAAGAATTTCTTAGGGGAAAAATCTTACAAATTATATAGGAAAATGATGAATTTAATTACATTATAAGCCTCTGACAGGAAAGCCACAAATTAAAAGCCAACGTATATAATAAAGCATCAGAATCTATTTATATACATATATAAATACATGTAAGCAAAGTCAATATCTTAAAGACAAAATGCAGTCTATGAACACAAGTCACAGAAGCATAAGCACAGCCAAATGAGGCACAATCACACTAATAATCTAGGAATGCAAACAAGAGACTGTTTCATATCCATCGGAGAGGAAAAAATTAAAATTTCATAATATCATGAATGGCAAGGAAGAAGATGAAGGAATTCTGAAATAATGTGGAAGTCAAACTTGGAGCAATCCTTTTGGAGAGCAATGTGGTGCGTACAGTGAGGGGCAAAACACTCCCTGTTTTTAGCTATGTGCCCTATACCAGAGAAACTCTCCCAGAAATAGGAACCTATGCAAAGATGTTCATGACAGCTGGTTAGTTATATGAAAAAAAGTGGAAAAACCTAAATGTTCATTCACATGAGAATAGTTTAGTATTGACAGTGACAAAATGGAATTCTGTAACATTTAAAATTAAAGACTTAAAAGTCAAATTTATCACATGGATAAATCTCAGTAGCCACAGAATTTGGATGAAATTCTACAAAGTCAAAGAACATGTAAAACAATATTTCTTGTTATAAGCACTTAAATATACACGGTGGGAACATAAAATAAAAAATACAAAATAATAAGAGTCACCAAATCTGTGATGGCAATTATATCTCGAGGGATGGTGGGAGGGGAACAGAACTGGAGATCCCTTAACTGCCTGTGTTTTATTTCCTTAAAAAAAAAAAATCAAGGTAAAGCAAATACAGTATAATTTGACAAATCTGGGTGCAATGTCTATCAATGTCTATGGGTATTGATTATATTTGAAATATCTCATTAAAATATCTTTGAAGAAACTTCTTCATAATTGTGTTTGATCTGTTATAAATAAAGCTAAAATGTAATCATAAGATGATAAGATCTGAAACAGTATAAAAAGTTGGAAAAAGATGCTCTCCAAATCCCCACTTAAAAGCCCAATTCATGGCCAACTTGTCATTCTGTCTCCAAAGTACATTTATCAATTTTAGTATGTCCTTCCCTAAAATGACTCATGTGTTTTCAAGTAACTTACCAAACAATTTTCGTGAGCAGCTATATTCTCTGATTGTGCAAAGTATAGGACACTGTACTCGATGTCTTTGGGGCAAAGTGCACATGTCCTTTTTTCCATCTTTTCTGCAACCTGAAAGACACCTATAAGTAACATCCCTGATGAGAAATGGAAAAGTGGAATTTCTTGGTCTCCGTAACTCCTCCACCAGTCTTGAAGTAGAAGGCAGGGCACTTTATTTTTTAATTTTTTTTATTTAAAAAAAAATTTTTTTTTAAAGATTTTATTTATTTATTTGACAGTCAGAGATCACAAGTAGGCAGAGAGGCAGGCAGAGAGAGAAAGGGAAGCAGGCTAGCAGAGAGCCTGACGCGGGGCTTGATCCCAGGACCCGGGGATCATGACCTGAGCCGAAGGCAGAGGCATTAACCCACTGAGCCACCCAGGTGCCCTAGGGCACTTGTTTTTATGAGAGATTCTCGACTCCCAAAGAGGAAAAAAAAATGTACCCATGTGGAAAAGCAACTTATTGTGTACTTCTTAAATGGTTTAATACAAGGAAGGACAATAATGAATTCATTTAAAGTGTCTAAACATGAAGATAATTTTATTCAAGAAACACAACCAGGGGGTGCCTGGCTGGCTCAGTCAGAAAAGCATGTGACTCTTGATCTGGGGTTCTGAGTTTGAACCCCATGTTGGGTGTAGAGATTACTTAAATAAATAAACTTTAAAAAAGAAAGAAACACAACCAAGAATTTAAATACAAAGCTCTCAAAACACTGCCTTGGCAATACTAAACTTTTAATAATTATTGTTATTGTCAATACAAATCAATAAGAAAACAATGATGTGCTTAAGAAATAGTGCTCTGGTTAAGTGCCTATAAAAAAAGTTTCAGATCCCTGTATCATAGTATATTCAAAAATAAATTTTGAGTGAATTTAAGAAGTAAATGAGCAAGGTACTTTAATTTAAATGTACTGTAATCTAGCATGGTAATGAGAGAAAAATACATAAAGGCAGAAAATAATTTTTTTTTTTTTTTGAAGAAATGAATAGAAGAAAAGAGAGGAACCTAAGAGAAGGAGAGCTAGGAAGAAAAGGAAAGAGATGAAAAAGAAATCACTTGTTTCCACAATCTCACCGGGGATATCAGTGTGGGGTAACCTTCTCTAACCTATTAGTTTGCTATTGATTTGGCTATAAGCATCCATTTAACAACTTGTTTGCCCTTCCCAATGCTTATCCTCTTATTGATTTGGTTTTCTGTAGAACACAATTCTGCTTTTAATCATAAACTTTTAGTTTTGAAACAAAGATTTATTTTACCATTTATTGGTGAGAGTTTTAAATTTAGATGAGGCTAATCACTTACAGGGTTCCTAGAAGTTCTTTTTGTTATCCAAAGTATAAGATCTCTGGTGTCTCTCTGAAATTAGATCGTGCATTGCACGAAATCACAAGACTGCACTTTGGAGCAGCATTTATCTCACATTCAGATGAGTTTCTTATTTAATTAATTTCTGTTTCCTGGATTTGGGTCCTAACTAGTAGGAATACAAATTTGTAGTTCCTCTGCTCCCCACCAACCATAAAAAAGGGGAGAGACAGAGAAAAACCCTCAAATGAAATGAAACTAGCTAGCTGCTTCTTTTCATTCATTCTGAATCCCCACCAATTTGGGAGCACCTCTTATAAAAGAGTCATTTTGCTGGGCACTCTAGACCAGTGCTATCCAACAGAAATTGTAATGTGAGCCACAAATGTGAGCCACAGCTGAAAAATTTCTAGGGGCCTCGTTGGGGTTGGGGGAGAAATTAATGTTAATAACATGTTTTATTCAACCATGATCTTATAAGATCATCTTATGATCTTTTAACATTTAATCAATATAAAAATTCATTCTTCAGTATGGAGTCTTTGAAACCCAGTGTACTTTGTACTTATAGTTGTGTCTTAACTGAATAAACCACATTTTTAAGAGCTCCACAGCCATGTGTAGGGACTGGCTACTGTAGGGAACAGCACAGCAGAGGATCTAAAGAAATAGGAGACAGAACTGTTGCCTGCAAGGGGCTAACAAAATAAAATAACAGAACAAATGCCACAAAGTAAAATAACTGCTGGGTGGAAAATGCCATACAAGCTATGGATCCAGGGGAGGAATTTCTCCCGTGGGAGAGAGTGCTGTCAAGGACATGGGCCTTGAGCCGCTATAACTGGAGATGGAGAAAGTGGAGAGGGTTTGGGAGGAACTGGAGACATAAGTAGTGATGTGGGAACTGGCCAAGAGGTTTGACCTGAAGGCAGAAAACCAGTCGGGCTGAGAAGGAGAGTCTGTGCAGAGGAAGCTGGTAAAGAATTTGAGAAACAGATGGTGAAAGACTGCCAGGAAGGATTTTGGAGCAGGGGAGTAACATGATGAAAGAGTTGTTTTAAACAACTAAACTTCAGTAAAAAAGGAAAAACAAAAACACAGCGTGGAATAAAAAAGGATATTACAAAGCTGTCAGACAAAGAGATAATCAATGTGTATGCTTTTCTTGGTCTAAATAAATCAAATTGTGGGGGAAAGAAAAGAGTTGTTTTAAGCTCAGTCTCAACACATCAAGAGAAATACTATGTTCCTGAGTAGGAAGACTACACATTATAATGCTGTCAGTTCTTCCCCAAACAAGTTTTAGGTTTAATGTCATTTCAATTTAAATCCCAAGAAGGTTAAAGAAATTGAAAAAAAAAGAAAAGATTATTTGGAAGAATAAAAGGGCATGGATTGTGAAGAAAACTTTGAAAAAAAATACAAGGGTATATGCCTACTCGATTTAGAACCGTATTATTAAAGATACAACTAGGACAGAAGAGTAGATGACTACATCAAAAGACAGGACAACAAAGTGCAGAGAGAAATAGAACATAATCTATAATTATGAATTTAACATACCGTAAGGTGGCATTTGCATTTCTTCTCTGGCACTGATGTCCTCAGCCCATTTTCTACTAGGTTATTCACTATTTTTCGAGCTTGTTATGTATTCAGGATGACCATTTGTTAGTGATATAGTGGTCTTTTAATTTTGTTATAATGTTCTATGACATACAGAATGTTTAAATGTGTTATTTGATGAAATATATCAATCTTTTATTTTATGGTTTCTACTCTTGGGTGAAGGAGATATAACTTAGAAAAAACCTCTATTTCCTTCTAAAATATTATTCTTATATTAAATGTTAATGTGTAATTTATTTTATTATAAAGTATGTGATGAGGATCTAACTTATTTTCATAGTGGTTAGCCAGATTTTAATCTCCTTTTCATATATTTAATTATTACATATGTTTAGGTTTGTTCTTATATTTCTATTTGTTCCATTGATCACTTCCTCCTCCAATACCACACTTTATAGTTTCCAATGCTTTAGCATATATATTAATATTTGACAACATAATACTCCATCCTAGATGAAAATCAGAAAAAATCCCAATATTTTATTCACTTCAGTCCCAAAATCTATTTTGAAAAAATACTATATTCTTATTTTAAAGGACACACAAACTGGACATGAAAATTTGTAAAGCACAGGCTTAAAAAAAAAAAAGCATCAATTAGAAGGATGGGATAAAAATCCCTAATAAAATAATATGATAACATTTGATAGGCATGCAAAGTTTCTTGTTGTATAAGAGCTAGAAATTTTTGCACAGTGTTATCCTTTCCTTGTGCAAAGCAGGGCTTTCAGACCAGTATCTGGCTGAGCTGGGAGGCTGCGGATACGTGAATATGGCCCCCTGTGTTTGCTCTGGGGATGCTGCCCATTTGAGTTGCACTCCCAAGTCCACAGGCTTCTAGGGTTTTGGCACCTGGAAGTAAGGGCGTAGTAGCAACACTGCTGCCTTCTGACCTAGAGTACTTTTTCTCCTGCTGATGGACAGAAACCCAAAGTGGGGCACACAGGCTCCCCCTAATGGCTTTTCCTTGGTAAAACATCTTCTCATCATCGCTCCCTAAGAGATCTTAGCTCTTCTACCTTGTTCATTCTTCCAGACTGGAGGATGAACAGAACTCGCTGCAGTTGGGGGAATCACATTAGAGCCTTTTACATAGACAGACATCCCCCACTTACCTGAATGCTTGCTATGCGTTATCTGAAACTCCTGGACCACATACACTTGGATAACTGATACTCCTCACCTTCAGAATTCGGGGACTATACAGATTTAGACAGTGAAGTAAGACAGGTGTATTATGGGGGCTGGGGCATTTTAGGGAAGAGTCCATTGGTCTCTATCAGAAGCTGACACTAAGAATAATGAAGAACAGCAGGGCTCCCCGTGGTGCTTCTACTGTGTCTAGCAGACCTAAGGACACACAGAGACTGATGTAACAATTCTCAAAAATGAAACTGGTAGCCAAGAAAAGTTCTACAGAATGAAGCTGCAGAAAAATGATAGGCTGGGAACACATGAACTATGACTAACTCAAACCCACACAGTGAATCTCAGGTCTCTCCAGGTCCACCTCCACCTGGGAAGGGATTGCTAAGGCCACAGCCTCTGCAGAGTTATCAGAGATATCTTCCAAATATTCCTCTTCCCAGATATGGTCCTAAAGCCCACCAGACAAGGGCAATCCAGTCAGAGCACAGAATCTGGAGTAGCCAGATAGGACAGCCAAGAAACACACTTCACCATTAAATGAGTGGATGATGGAAGGAGAGTCACTAATCCTGTAATTCCATTTATAATCCCTTTCTGATAGGGTATGATTTATGTTCTGGACTGGCAATCAATTTATGGTGCTGGCTTGGAAATTTCTTCCTCTTTTCTTCTTTGATCAACTCATTTTTTATTGCAGCTTACTATTTTAGTACTTCCATTAGATATCAGATAAGTGGGAGAAGTCAATTTTATCACTGAGTCTAGTGACTGTACACCTGAAATGGATAAAGACCAAAACAGGAGGCGTAGACATAACCTAGACGCTTGGTAATGAACTTAGAAAATAAATGGCTTTATCAGATTGTCCCTGGATGATGTGACTGTGTATAACTTTGGAAGAAGTGTGTACGTATTTGGGAGAGCCAGAGAACATTACTGGGGACAGCTTTAGAATGTATAAACAGGAATAAGGGTGTGTGTGTTGCAGGAGAGGAGCGGTGGACAGCCGAGGAATAGGGTGTTCAGCGGACTTCTTTAGAATCACCTAACTTAGTCACAAACAGGGATGATTCTCAACAGACATGCTTGTACTATAGGACTTCATTTCCCTAGGCACAGCTGATACTCCCATAGGACCTACCTGTCCAACTCTCAGATATACAGAATTCAGAATAGTAGATTTTAGTTCAGATTGGGCTGGTTTCCCTCCTGTGAAAGACCTTCTCCATCACCAGGAGAAAAGAAGCCAAGCTCCTTAGTGGTACATACAAGCCCATTCATTCCTTCATTAAATTCTTAGTAAGAACCTATTATGCACTGTTTTCGGCACTACAAATAAAATAGAGAATGAGATGAGAGTTTCAACTCTCAAGGAACTTACATTCTAGTAATAGAGACAGACAAGTATTTCTCCTGCTAGCAATAAGTGCTATTGAAAAAAATTAGAGCAGGGAAAGGAGGTAGAGTGTCATGACGGTGGTAGGGTGCTCTTTTAAATAGGATGGGCGTGCAAAGCTGTGGAGGATACATTTGAGAGAGACTTGAATTATGGTGGGGAACTGAGAAATGGGAGGCAAAGAGAGCCCAGAAAGGGATAGGTTTGGGGGCTTGGTGGACCCATAACGCAGTGAGGTGTGGCAGAGTCATCAAGACAGTCAGGGAGAGGATCAGATCAGGACATGGAGTACACTGTAGGCCACAGAGATCATTCTGAAGGTAATGAGAGACTATTGAAGGGCTCTGAGTAGGAGAATCCCATTTGCATTTTGTTTTTTAAAAAGATCATTTTGGCTCCTGTGCAGGCTTGTCTGCATGAGACGTTAGAGTAGGAGCCAGATCAATACTCTAGGCAGGAAATGGGAGATGGTGCATTGGGGCTTGGATGGCAGCACAGGTGAGAAGTGGTCAGGCTCAAGATACATTCTGAAAACTGAACTGACCGGTTTGATTGATGCATTAGATGGGAAGTGAGGAAGAAAGGCACTGAGGGCTGTGCTAAAGGTACTGGCCTGAGCAACTGGATGAATGCAAGGAGTAAGGCTGGTGGATGAACGGGTTTGGACATGTGGGTACACGCAGGAAAATGAGAATTTTCTTTGGGACAGTTTGAGATTATTCTAGGCATTGATGAAGTTGGTTATACCAGGCTGGAGTTTGGGGAAAAGGTCAGGATAGAACCTCATCTCCAATAATATCCTGTAGATAATACTAGCTGAACGAATATATGCAACTGCTTGACTTGTGGTTGCCATGTGACATTTTGGGGCTGGTGCCTTTTTGTGTCATCACCTCAGTATGCAACACCCTTTCAACCGCTCTACCTGTGGTTGACTCTTGTCCTTTAAAACTAAGGGCATCAGTGCCTCCATAAAGCTTTCCCAAAACACCAGGCTGAGTTAGAAACCCCTCATCTGAGACTTTGTGGCTCTTACCAGGTCATCTGCAAGCTGCCTTTTCGATCCTCGAAGATGGGGTCTAACTCCTCTCTCTATCCCTAGCTCTGAGCCCTGCCACACAGTAGGAGCTCTACACCTATTTGAATGAAGGGATGGTGCAGGCTCATAAGACTGTTGCCTTAGGCACAAAGAGGGCTGCTGAGGATCTGAACTACTACATGGAAAGGAGTGGATGGTTCCAAGGAGTCACATTCTCTGCAAGAACTTTCCCAGCTGCTTCCTGAGACTAACCTGACCACTTTTTTTCAAGAAGTGAAGACCACTTCTTTACTTCTTCTTTCCTACTTCTCCCATGCCACTTCTCTGGCAACAGTCTTGGGAGTGAGTGGACTGCATGAGCAGAGTAAACCCCCACCCGAGTTTATGTCTATTTCCCTTGATGTCTCTATCCCCAGTGGAGTAGGATAATGGCAATGGGTGGTCCATCAGCAGTGGGGGAAGTAAACGGAAGTCACACATTTTGCAAGTGAAGCCCTGGGCAGTGGTCTGGGCGCACAGCCCCCTGCAGAATTGAACCAGGACCGCGGGAGGTGAATGCAGACTAACTCCCCTCACAGCAGTGCCGCACGGGCCCAGGAGGCGGGTTGGTGAGGAGGAGAGCAACCAGCGAGCAGGCCGGGGACCCGCCCTGTGGTTGCGGGGACACAGCACCCCCACCTCAGCGCGCGCGCACGAGATGCACTGGGGCGGTACTCACCGGTGGGATGAGGGAGCTGGTCCCGGGTGTCGTGGTCTTCGGACAAGCTGACTCCGTGGGCTGACTTGGTCGAGGAAGACGACGCTTGGTCCATGGCTGCGACCTCAGCTGCTGCCCGATGGAGGCGCGCAGCGCCTGCACTTCCGGAAGTTCGCAGGCGGCTGCCCAGTTTCGTTTTCGTAAAAGCTACGATGACCCATTTCCCCTAACCAGGGGAAGTTCAGGGCAAGAGACACGGACGGTTTGCAGACGGAGTTCTCATTCAAAATGGAGCTCGCATCTTCTACAGATCCGAGTCTGAATCTGATTTGTTTTTTAATATGCTGGCAATCGCCACCCTCCCCAGACTTTTCCTCTTCAGACGGGGAGGAAAGGTAGCCCAAACCCCTGGGATCAGCTGGAGAAGTGATTGCTCTTCTGAAGGATTAACCATTTCTTCTAAATTGTATAACATCAAGTTTGGCCTAAATAGGTATGTCATAAACGTAGGCAGAATTAACTATAATTCCAGTTGTGAGTCGCAAATCTTTATTTAGCACCCATGGGGTACACAGCACCATACAAGACGAGGTTTTCAGTGCATGTAACAAAATATACATGTAGAGAACACAAATGTATATAATTACAGATAAAAAAAAGCTGTTTTGGAAAAGCAGCATATAATAGTTGGTGGTTTGCTGAGGAATTAAAGGAAACTTGCATTTTGAGGTCTTATTTTTGTATTTTGAGGCTTTTTTAAATTTTTAATTTTTTTAAAGATTTTATTTATTTGACAGAGATCACAAGTAGACAGAGAGGCAGGCAGAGAGAGAGAGAGAGAGAGAGAGGAGGAAGCAGGCTCCCTGATGAGCAGAGAGCCCAATGTGGGGCTCAATCCCAGGATCCTGGGATCACAACCCGAGCTGAAGGCAGAGGCTTTACCCACTGAGCCACCCAGGTGCCCCAAGGCTTTTTTAAAAAGGGACGAAAGGAAAATCGGGGACAGCATTAAAGAGAAATAATATATAAAAAGATAACTTGGGTAGTCTCGACAAATATAGAAATGGATTAAAGAACCGAGTCCAAAGGGGAAATAAAAGCAGACTTCAGCAGCCAAGTTTCTGCCCTTCAATCAGCCAAAACAAAGCACTAAAAGAGACAATTAGAGATTAATAGCTCAGCTCAGTTATGATGTGGCACTTGAAGAGACCCATCTCCCACTCTCAGATTTTAATCTCAGCCTTTTATAGTGTTCTACTCTTAGGTATGAGTAGATTGCCAAGATAAAAAACTGAGAAAAGCCTGTAACATCAAAGACAAAGACCAAAGTAAACATACACGGAAAACAAGAAATAAACCTTCGAGGTTGTAAAACATGCAGGAAGAATATAGATATGAATGCATGTGTATACACACACATAAACCTATACAATACACATCATGGTATTTTCAAAGAGATAAGATATTGAAACCATGAACCCAAAATAAGATGCTGTTAAAGAAATCCAGAGAAGAAAAGAGAGCTCTAGCAATTAAGAATATGAGACCAGAAAAATAAAGCATAACTGAAATACTGGAAGTTTTTCTTTTAAGATTTTATTTATTTGATAGAGGAAGACACAGCAAGAGAGGGAACACAAGCAGGGGAGAGGGAGAAGCAGGCTTCCCAACAAGCAAGAACCCTGATGCGGGGCTCAATCCCAGAACTCTGGGATCATGACCTGAGCCAAAGGCAGACGCTTAGCCGACTGAGCCACCCAGGTGCCCCCCTACTGGAAGATTTAAATTGAGAAAATCTCCCAGAAAGCACAGCAAAATGAAAGCTGAAAATAAAGAGAAAATTTGGGGCATGTGGCTGGATTAGTTGGGAGAACATGCAACTCCTGATCTCAGGGTTGTAAGTTTGAGCCCCACACTGGGTGTAGAGATTACTTAAATAAATAAGTAAACTTGAAAAAAAAAATCGTAACTCTTTAAAAAGAGAGAGAAAGAAGATTAGAGAGCCAATCCTGGAAGTCTAACAGCTGAATAAGAAGAATTCTATAAAGAAAGAAAGAATGAACACATGAGGAATAGTTAAAGAAATGGTTCAAGATAATTTCCCTGAATTGAAGGACAAAGATTTCAGATTGAAAGATCACACCCAGCACCCGGGATGAAGGATGAAGATGGACCTTACCAGAAACAAAACACTGGGACAAAGATCATTCTGTCAGCTTCAAGAGATATAAAAACTAAAAGATAAAGAACAGAATGACATCTGACTTCAGTAGTCACCATGGATGCCAGAAATCAGACCATTTTCAGATTTCATAGCAGCAGCATCAGAAGCTAGCAGAAGCCTTCAAAATTGTATTATGGAGGTTACTCAAGAATTCTATATCCTAAAAAAATAGCTATCAAGTGTAAGGGTAAAATAAAATGTTCAAACATGCAAAGTCTTAAAATAGTTACCCCTCAATTTTCCTTTTCAAAAACAACTGGAAGATGTCCTTTACCAATAAGTGGGAGAAAACTGAGGGAAAGGGAAATAATGGAATTTAACTGGACAGATCTGACATAAGAGAGACAAAGGGAATCTCTAGCACACTGATGGATGGTGACAGCTGTGAAGCAGATCAAGATGTCAGGACTTACGTACAAAAATATTTCCCATACTTACCAAGTATCTTCACTTTCAGTGTACAGCCTAAAATTCCTACATCTTTAATGTGAATAAATGGACTTAACTTTTCTCATCTGAACAGGCTTTTAGGTTATATACCTTTTGCTGCTTTTCCTAGTTCCTGGGTTTCCCACTCTAAAACAATTTCAAGTTAAATTTTCATCTAGTTCAATATTTTTAAGCAATTAAATTGAGTCCAAACTTAGAATAGGGTTTTATTTGAACAGTAACCAAACTAAACCCAGAAATGAGTATAGAAAAAAAGAAAAAAAAAAAGATCCAAAACCTCTCAAAAGCCAGAACTACTTTTAATTATTTCTTTTTGAGCCGGTATTCCTCTTCAGGTTCCAAGGGGGAAGTTCCTGGCAGCCAAATATACAACTTTGTTATGGATAAAATTAGTTTTGATGCTTGGAGATTCCCCGTCTTTTCCACTCCATAATCAGGGCTGGGTAACCTATAGCTGAGTGTAACTCCTTTTTTCTCTACAAAAGCAATTTACACATCATACCCAGGAGAATCCAAGAAGCTGTTCCAGACTTTACAAACTCAGTCAAATTGCTTTGTTTTGTTTTGGTAAGTGAAAACTTTTGTCCAGCACAATCCCTTCTAGAGGGCCTAAGTAAGCCAAGTCTGACTAGTTTCTAAGTTTTCTTCTCTTATGGCTCTCCTTTACCTAGAACAAAAATATTCCAATTCCTCCAGGTTTCTATTCCCTCTTTTCTTGTCTGTGTTTGAACTGGAATAGTAAGAATATGTAGAAAAGAAGTTCCATCTCAAGGAGTGCCAAAACCCTCCCTCTTAGCACTCAAATGGTTTGATGAGACAGAGTTGCATGCAGCCAGAGCTGCTCCAACTACTGTTAAAATACTTGGAAGTAAAATGCGTAAAGTTAGTTCTTACCTATTCCTCAGGTTATGTTGTCCACCTTATGGCTCATAATGGTAAATTATTTGCCAAGAATTAAACAGATTTTTGTAGGTAAAGATGTGAAATTTGGCCCTTTGGGGGCATAAGCTCAAAGATAATAATCACAAAAGTAAGAAAGAACTGAATTCTATTGTAACATTTGTTTCTCTTAATATATAATTCGCAAATAAGTTACAAACTGTATAATAGTATTTCATATAAAATATACACTTCCATCCCACTTGTGTAAAGTTGAATAGCAGAAAGGATAAAGAGAGAGCCTACGTGTATGAAAATGTCCTTATTTTGTTCCTAGCATTTCTAAGTCATACAAATGAATTCCCTGACAAGGGTAAACTGAAAAGAATTCTCTTGATGGATCACAACCTAAGTTAATTCCACTGATGACTGAAGGTTCTCTTACATGGCTCTAATTGCAGCATGAAAAGCTAATCTCATCAACAGGCATTAGCTACAGATTTATAATATTTTCTTTCTACACTTATTAACCCCACACTGGCAGAGGATTTCTTTCTCAGGCATAGTCCCAGCTTCATACCCATAATCCCATGTTAGTTCTGTTCTTGCTTTCACATACCTAGAAAGTAGAAATTAAAAAGCAAACATAAATTACTCTGAGTAACTACCAAATGAATCAAACTTGAATATATCAATTTATTAACATTATAAACCTTCAAAAATCTGGTTTCTTCTAACAACCTCCCCCCCCCCCCAAGTTAGGCATGCTCTTTTATTAAGAATAATCATTTGAGTTTTATTTCAAATCCACCAAAATCCTAAGTAAGAAACCTGTCAACATTCACAAGAAAGGAAGTGTTTAGCAAACAGTGGAACCCAGTGATGTGATGATGTCTGTGGTATGAGGCCTGTGGTGTGACAGCTGGAGGCAGTTCTGACTTACAGGAGATATAGCATTTTCCATCATTTATTCCCTGAACTGAACTGGGTCAGAACTGATATTTTTGTCCTTTTGGGCATTAATTCTCCAGGAAATAAGGACTGAAATTTTAGCTGTTTAAAAAAAATTTTTTTTTTTAAGATTTTATTTATTTATTTGACAGAGATCACAAGCAGGCAGAGAGGCAGGCAGAGAGAGAGGAGGAAGCAGGCCCCCCGCTGAGCAGAGAGCCCGATGGGGGGCTCGATCCCAGGACTCTGAGATCATGACCTGAGCCGAAGGCAGCGGCTTAACCCACTGAGCCACCCAGGCGCCCCAGCTGTTTAAAATTTTATTGGCTAGGAAGTTTGGGATAAATGAATATTTTAGGGTAGCAGATATTAGGGGCTATCACACATATTTCTAAAAATATTTTTCTGTTGTTATATTTCACAATTTCAAAATTAAATCACATAAGAAATTTCAAACCTGTTGGTGAAGAACGCCACCAATGGAAAGTTTCTGTCACGTGTTTCTACAAAAACATTCTGTACCAAAAGATTTGGGCAACAACTATGCTGTTAAAATAAATACATAAATAAACACAGAGGTTAGATATAGCAAGGAGTTTGATACCTTGTTTTTGAAACATTAAAATACCATTCTAACACATCTTACTTATTTTTGTTTCTTTCCCTTTTTTGCTGACCTACACTGTAAAATATCACAGACTGTGATTTTTTTAATAGTAGGAACTCAATCAGAAAAGCCCTCTTCTGACATTCTTACCTTGCTGGTAGAAATGCAAAATGGTACAAACTTCTATAGAAGATAATGTGTCAATTTTATCATTATTATGAATGCATTTATCCTTTGATTCAGCAATCCTATCTCTGAGAATGTATTCCACAGATATATCTGTACATGTACATGTATCTGTACATGTATCTATGTATTTGATTATTCATTAAGCACTGTTTTTAATAATAATTATTATTCTAAACCATTTAGAAACAACCCAAATGTCTGTCCAAATAACAATGGTTAAGTGAACTTCGGTATATCCAAACTATGTAATTCTATGTAGCTATAAACAAAAACAAACACAAAATGAGGGGCTCTGTGTACTGATATGGAAAGATCTCCAGAGTATATTGTTAATTCAAAAAGCAAGGCACAGAACAATGAATATAACATGGTTTATGTAAGAAGGGGGGGGAATAAGAATATATATATATGCGTGTATATATATTCACATATAGTGTGGGGACAAGGTGAAAAGAGGCATAGTTAAATTTTAGGGTTTTTTGTTGTTGTTATTGTTGTTGTTTTACCAGAAGAAAAAAGGTTAATACAAAGAATATATGTAACTGAGTTTTATGTCATTGTCAAACAGACCCTCCGGAAAGGGGACATTATGTAAGCAATTGATGTCTCTGCTGAACACAACAATTAGTTACCTTTGCTCAAGGCTCCTAACATGATACTATTTTATCCAATTACCACCATTCCAATATTGTTGCCTACTGCCCACTAGCACCCGCCTCTACACATTCATCTATGCCGGATTCATAAGAGACCAAATCCTTGCAATACTCCTTGAACATGTCTGCCACCATTCAATTTCAATGACAACTTCCTGTCCATACATTTTTTTCAACTGGGCTGGTAACCTTTACTCATGGTGCTTACCATGAATGGAGGCAGACTTGGAGCTACCTTGAAACAGAATTTTGTTCAGCTGTATGTATGTATTCTGAATGGCTTTTTGTTTCATGTATTCATTTTATTTCTATTTTTAAGTCATGAATGTATTTTCTATGTAAAAAAAAATAAAAGGAAGGAAAGAAAGAAAAAAGAAAGAAGAAGGAAAGGAAAGAAGGAATAGAGAAAGAAAGAAAAGTCCTATTTTTTCCTCCTCTAAACAAGAGACTAGCTCAGGTGGTATGCTGACTGGGAGGGTAAAATCAAACATACTGTTATGGTGCAGCCACTTTCAACTTAACTGACTTTTGGAAATAAAGCCATGACAGTCCTTTGCTGGGGATACTTCTTTAATGGCTCTCCAGACATGTTTAATGGCTCTCGACATGTTTGGCAATAGTACAAAAGCAGTCAAAGTGGAAGAAAAAACAGCAGCTGGGGGACAGAAGAAGAAAGTAAAGGACTCTATTTCTTGTTAACCAAGTATCCTCCTAACTAGGGGGAAAAGAAACAAACCAAATAAACAGACCGCCTAGCAAGGAAAAGCTCTTTGTTTTTAAAGATTTTCTGACCTCAGGTGGGCAGGGTGGGGGGTGGGGAGGGGGTATTAAGGAGAGCACCTGTGATGAGCACAAGGTTTTGTATGTAAGTGACAAATGACTAAGTTGAGAATAATATTGCACTGCATGTTAACTAACTGGAATTTAAATAAAAATTTGAAAAAGAAAAAAAGATTTTCCAACTCCAGAATCTTTTTCTCTTCTGATGGCAGGTGAACTACATATGGTTGCACATAAATTTCAAACCATTCAAAGTAGCACAGAAAAAAAGTTTAGAAATGTGAATCTCAGCCCACATACTCACGTTAAGGAAGCGGCCCACATTCCCTTCTTTTGTGGCATCCAATAAAAACATGCTCCCTTTATTGAACTTCTTTAGTGAATCAGGTGAAATATTTTTGGTTTCACTTGGGAACTCTTTTTCACAAAAGACTTGGTGATTTTGATATGCTGGAGTTTCTTCTTGGGGCTTTTGCATTTGAGCCTTGAGCTCCTTTGTAATATTCAGTTTATCCAATGTGGCTGCTTGGTTACATCTGCCCCCTGATGGAGTCTCTTCTCTACATTTAGTTATATCTATCACATCCGATTCAATCAGCAGATTGTCTTCGAAGTCTTTAACTTGGTAGGAGCTTGAATCCTCTAATAAATATTTTGGAAGGAAGTGTCAGCAAATATATTTGGCTGATCAATAGTCCTGTGATTAACATACTAATTAAAAGCTAGTTGCTTTAATTATTACTAATCCTTACAATATGTGAGGGTAGACATTACTCCAATTTTACAAATGAAAACTTTGAGCCTTTGAGAGGGTAAGAGATTCACCTGACCTGTAATATAATGAGAAGTGGGGTAAGAAACCCAGAAGAGTCTCAAATGTTTGAGAAATGTCTGGTTCCAGGTTGGCTTCCTACTACCTTTTTATTAATGTACCTATTGCCTCCTGTTACTATATTTAATCTCTACTCCTCATAAACTGACTTACCTCTCTTCAACTCCAGAATCTGCATTTGAGTATATTCTAAACACCTGAAACAGAGCAGGTGTTTAGGGAAGTACTCTAGGCCTTTAGAACACCAATGAAAGGCCTGAGAAGACCTTCTTGGTATCACCTTCAACAAGTCCCAAGAGTAATAATAATTGTACTGCTATGGGTTTTGCACACATTAGTGACTGAAGGTTTTGCAAGATGAACATTCAATATTTATACCTTTACAAACAATAATACTTTAGAACAAGATGAACTGCCTTAATCATTTTTCTTATTCAATAATGGAAATAAAATTTTTTAGAATATTCAAAAGTGTGAATCCTTGTCAAATGGAGTAAGTAAAATCATTTATTTTTAAAAAGTCACTTGTGCCACCTAATTTAGTGGCACAAAGAAATTGGATTTCTCTAAATGTTCTTGATCTAATCATTATTGTTACTACCTGCTGTTTCTACATGTTCTCATATTTTAATTATGGGTTACTCATGAATCATAGTAGTACATAACTGATTTCTGTAGTGCCTACTATATATAAATATATACACACACTGTAGCAATTAATGAAAACAACAAAAGAACCAAAAGCAAGAGTACTCATTATGACTCACATGCATTTAATGGTGAAGAAAATCAGAGTATGTCATGCCAAAATATGCTTCCTTGACATAATTATTTTAAGCTAAGAGTGATTAAGTAGCCTGTGCAAAAAAATTTCTTTGCCTTCCCCCACCTGTTTAAAAGCAGTACATAAATTTACAAATATGTCCTCCCTCCTCCTACCAGGAAGGACAAAAGTTAGTCACCAGAGACAGCTTTAGACCTTTATCAGGCTGGAAACCAAAGGAGAGGAACCTACATAATGAACCTCACTAATGAGCATTTATCCACTCAAGGTCCTTTTCCTTTGTCTTGTCACTCCTCTAAAAATTTATTGTTCTTTGGCAAAGATGCTAGATAAGCCAGAGTCTTTTTTTTTTTTTTTTTTTTTTTAAGATTTTACTTTTGAGTAATCTCCACATCCAATTGGCCTTGATTGGCCACATGCTCAGTCACATGCTCCACTGACTGAGGCACCCCTCTAAGCTACTTCTTTATGTTATTTATCTCTGAGTACTCCCATGTGTTACATATGTGATACACATGCTAATGGTGATTCCTAGTAATAAGTTTCTGCTTGTTTTTCACTTGTCAATCTGTCAGTCTAATTTACAAGGCCCCAGCTGGATAACTAAAATGAGTAGAAGAGGAGATTTTCCTCCCCTTTGGTGATAAATAATTATAATACATAAATGCCCTTTCTGATAGACCTTTTCTGTCAAATAGCTGCCCTGCTCCCCAGCCCCAATCTTGATCTTTTAAAACCAGGTGAGGAGTTGGGTATACAGAGGCAAAAATACTCTAAAGGAGAAGAGGCAATGGCTCAGTTATTCAAAAAGGGTAATCTCTCAGCAGTATCTTCCCCAGTGAGGGATATTATGAAAAGCAAAAGTACGAAAATCCAGGTTTGTCAAATTGTAACATAAACCACTACAAGACTGGTAACACTGAAAGACAGGCACTCAGAATAGCAATATTCTCGCTTTTCACTGAGCATCCCTATAGCACTGTTGGCTGTGGAGTACTACAGAATGATGTATCTTAATTTTAAAGGAGTCCCTAAAAGAGTTAGGAAATGGCTGCTTTGGACAATGCTTCCAAAGCCACAGATAACACTGAGAACTACGAAGACTCAGAGTTGTCTACTCCACTTCTTCCTGCCATGCCTCAGAGTCACTGTTGGCAAAAACAGACCAAGAGTTGGCAAACTTCTGCAAGGGACCAAATAGTATTTTAGGCTTTGTGGGCCATCCAGTCTCTGTTGTGACTATTCAGTTCTGCTGATATAATGTGAAAGTCATCAGAGATAATATGTAAATGAAAGTGGCTATGCTCTAATAAAACTTTATGGACACCAAAACATAATTTCATATAATTCTTGTCACAAAATATTATTCATCTTATTTTTTTAAAGTTATTTAAAAATGTAAAAATTATCTTAGCTCATGGGCCATACATAAACAGATGGTGGGCCAGATTTGGTCCACAAATTATAGTGTGTCACCCTCTGATCCACACAAGTAATAACTTTTATAATGAATGCAGCTTGTTTGTTCTAAGTTTGAGAAAATAAGCCACAGGTATTGAGCAAGATAGACAAAAAGGCATAAGAGGCAGGCTATCACAGAGTGAAACAAAGCCTACTTTTCATTTCCTCGGCTTTGGAGTTCAGATGTACTTGGGTTGGTTTAAATCCATCATTATCTTCTGAGATGACAGACTCTGAGGAAGCAAATCCCTTAAAAGAGAACAGGTAAGATGTCTTTACTTTCTAGGTCAGGACAAACAATTTAATGTAGCAGTTAGACCTCTTTTCATCAAGTGTCAGTTTTCATAAGCTGTAGCTACCACATTAGTTTTGGAAGACTCAAAGCTGACATCATAAGAAATCTCTGGAGTGATGGAGCCCTTCTGGCTGTGTTCTACTTCTGGGCACTCCAGTAAGCCACAAATTATAGACTTAATTTATCAAAACTGTCAAGACAGTCTTTAGGCATTAAAATTTAAAATAAACTTCAAAGACATCTATCTGAACCCCTCAATTCTGATACCAGATTATAAATTCGGCTTCAACTATAAGATGTGCAAAGATAAAAGCACACTTTGGCCAGTTTTTACTTCAAGGACGTTAAAGGAGTTGCTGGTGTTTATGAGTTGTAGATACAGCAATCACTTTATATGTTAATGATAACTTTAAAAAAGGTTATAAGCTTAACACCACACTTGGCACTCAACTGTTCAATAAGTGTTGACCATTATTATTATTATTATTCAAGTTACTTAAATAGTTAACATTTATTGAGCACTTGGGTGTCAAACACTATGCTACACCAAGTTTCTGAAGCTTATCTCATTTAATCTTCTTAACTCTGAGATAGATACTATTCTCATTTTACAGATAAAGGAATGTAGACATGGACATGTGACCCAGGTAGAAAGCAGAAGAACTGGAGTTCTATGTGGTCTAATGGCCTAACCTTTTCATAATTATGTGATCTTGAAGAGGTACTTACTGTATGTACATCACTAGGCAGAGGGCAAATATTGGCACATCATGTAGGGCAGAGTTTTTATTTTTTATCAACAAGCCCTACTGTGAACTACCTTTATGTCTTCCTCTGTTCTTTTTCCTGCATCTTTCATTGCTTCCAAGTTATAGTCTCTGGCTAGTTTTTCTCAGTAGAGACTGAAAAGTATACCTTCAGAAGTTATCATGTAGAATGATTGTGTTCTGGATGATTCTTTCATTAGGCTTTCTCTTATACCTCTCAACCTTATCTTCTTAACATAAATTACTTCATCTTTTTCTTATTATGTATCACTACCAACTCTGGAACATTCTAGCTTTTCTATAAATTCTCAGAACTAGACAGCTCTCAGTTACAGTGGAACACATTGTCAGATCATGATCAACAGTCTCCTTATGTATCTAAGTTGGGAACAGGCCAATGACCCTGGAGGACACTAAGTAAATAAAACACGATCCTAATACTTCAAGAGTATGCCCCTTCCAAAGTAATAAAAGAAATCCTACACATTATTAAATTACACAAACAACTGGAATTAAGTAAAAGACAGAAAGTTGAAATCACAGTTAATGTTCTCATAAGGGCCCCATCGACATTTTGCAGTTTTTACCATCCTTTTCCCATTGCGTTGAATAATGGCTGTCTTCACTTTAGGACTTCTAATGACTGAATGATATTGAATTCTTGAAATATTGTTATATTTCATTTCTCTGAAAAGGAAAAAAAACGTTATTCTATATATCACTAAAAATTCTCTTTATTGGACCTTGAAATATAGGTATCACTGTTACATAAGTATCCATTTAGAAATTAATCTAGTAACACCTATGCTTATCTCCCGCTAAAGAAGGAAATATATTTTACAGTCAATCATTTTTGAAGTATTTTTAAAAATGAATCTGTGAAAAGGTTTGTGAATAAATGACAGAAAATAAAAAGGACAGCAAAAGTTGTGACATCCATAAAGACTCTGATTAAAGGGATAAGTCTTTTTTTTTTTTAATTTTTTTTTTAAAGATTTTTATTTATTTATTTGACAGAGAGAGATCACAAGCAGGCAGAGAGAGAGGAAGGGAAACAGGCTCCCCGCTGAGCAGAGAGCCCGATGTGGGGCTCGATCCCAGGACCCTGGGATCATGACCTGAGCCGAAGGCAGAGGCTTAAACCACTGAGCCACCCAGGTGCCCCTAAAGGGATAAGTCTTTTAAAAGTAAAACTCCACAGGGGTGCTTGGGTGGCTCAGTGGGTTAAAGCCTCTGCCTTCGGTTCAGGTCATGATCCCAGGGTCCTGGGATCGAGCCCCGCATCGGGCTCTCTGCTCAGTGGGGAGCCTGCTTTCCTCCTATCTCTCTCTGCCTGCCTTTCTGCCTACTTGTGATCTGTCAAGTAAATAAATAAAATTAAAAAATAAAAATAAAAATAAATAAAAGTTTAAAAGTAAAACCCCACAGATGGGACACTGAGGAGATAAATATGTTGGCTAGCTTTTAAAATTATAAGCATTCTAGATTTCTCAGAGTTAAACTTAACAACTGTGAAGCAAGTTGATATATAGGAGATACATAGGAGTAGTGGGGGCAGGGGGAGTCAGAAACAAAAGGAACCATTCTTGTTCAATAATACAGATCAATCTTGACTGGGTTCACAGTATCTTACTTACATAACAGGCTCTTTTAAATTATTACTGAACGTAGGTAGATACTCCTCAGTCTCAGCACTTTTATGTGTTTCCAGTTCTAATGGGATAACTTCAACCTCACAATCTGCAGCTTCCATTTTCCTCTTTTTTGAAAACATATTTTTCATAATATTCTCTTCTTTTCCATTTTCACCAATAGCATTAGGTTTCTCAGTGTTAGATCTGCTTAGTAATCTTCCTAAAAGAAAAAAAGTAAGAGTTTATTAAGAAAAAAATAATATAATTGCTAAGCAACAAAAGAACATCTCCATTCTGCTCCATTACTAAAGATCTCTGTGAAATGTTCCATATTTCTATAATGAAAATAAATACATTAATTCACCCTAGGAAACTCTTGTAAGAAACAATAAATAAAGGACCACTAAGAGACTTCCTATCTTCCAGTATATGAAAAAACACTGGCCATATAAAAAAAAGCATTTGCCTGTTCTGATATAAAATGAAGGGCGCCACATAGTGAGCTCCACTCTTAAGATTGCAGCTTTTGTGTCTAGTTAAAAATATCTAGTTAAGGGGCGCCTGGGTGGCTCAGTGGATTAAAGCCTCTGCCTTCGGCTCAGGTCATGATCCCAGGGTCCTGGGATGGAGCCCTGCATCAGGCTCTTTGCTCAGCAGAAAGCCTGCTTCCTCCTCTCTCTCTGCCTGCCTCTCTGCCTACTTGTGATCTCTGTCAAATAAATAAATAAAATCTTTAAAAAAAAAAAAAAGTCTAGTTAAAATGCTTTATCAGTTAAAACTTGTATTTTTTTAAGGCTCCTGGGTGGCTCAGTCAATTAAATATCTGCCTTCAACTCAGGTCCTGATTCCAGGGTCCTGGCATCGAGCCCCATGTTGGGCTCCCTGCTCAGTGGGGAGTCTGCTTCTCCCTCTTCCTCTGCCGCTTTCCATTCCCCCACCATCTCCACTCCTGCTTTCTCTCAAATAAAATCTTTTAAAAAAAACCTGTATTTTTTAATAAAGTAACCTATATAAATGTAAGGCAATTGTGCCTATTGCTCTCATATTAAGTTCTGGTGTAATATTAAAACTTAAAGTTTATGCATTTTAAGGGACTCAAAACTATAGTTACCAAGTCAAAATCAGCAGCTAAATTAGAGAGGTACCTTAAGTACATTTTCTAGTAATGCAGACAAAGCTAATGATACTTCCTGGACACTATGTGGCTCCTTATAAGGCAGCTGACTTTCATCAAAGAGTGATTTTGAGAAATATGAGAGATTAATGTGTAGGCAAATTGTGTAGTATGTGGATCCAAATGTGGCTGTTATGAATTATACTAATTCTTGCTTTCACTGAAGTGAACCTGGAATTTCAGATGAGGATGGTTGCTCTGGTCCCTATTGCTTTCCTGCCAAGACTTGGTCTAGCATAATTCCTTCAGACTGGTTCCAGAGCCACGTATCCTCAACCTTTCTCATTTCATGGTACACACAGGGAGTGAGGCTTTTTGCCTGATACTCCGGGGAAAATGGCTGAGACTATGGCAACTGATGTTTCTGGCCGAGGTGTTGTGACCAGAAAAAATCAGTAATGGCACAACCATAAAACACTGGTTGAGAAGCTTTGCTTAGAGGTGGGCAACTTGAGTTCCTGAAATGGAGGGAGCTGCTTAAAGTCACTGCCTGAATCATCCTGTGCAGATATTTATTACAGACTTAACTTGTTAAATTCTAACAGTTCAAATTATTGAACAAGATCATCTTTGGCTGATAATCTTTACCTTAGGAAGTCAGTCATTTAGCTTCCTTATTCAAAAAGTCTTAACTTATCCTAAAGCATCTATAGCGATGGAGAAAAAAAAATGCCTCATATAATAACCCAAGTTTTATCTCTGAGCCTTTTTTTTTTCTTCTGGAATACCCAGTGTCTCCTCATCCATGAGTGCTCGATTTCCCAGTCACCTGCCCTCCTCTGATGCTCCTCCTCTATATTGTTGCTCCTGTCCTTGCTATAAGATCTAGTAAAATGGAGATTCAGAAATGCAGATCTTACTACAGTAATTTGAATAGTTAACCTTTGCTTTACCTGAATAAATGCAAACAAATGTCCCTCTGTCAATGTCATCTAGGCAGCGTACTCCCCATCCCTTCTTCTCAGTTTTGAACACCTGTAGCCTCACTTGAGGTCCATGCTGGACAACTCGGTTTTGACACATTCGTCGATTACACTTGCATAACAGGCTGCATTCATAAATGCTGTCAATAAAATATGCAAGAAAAAAATCAATCAGATATCCTAAATTAAAAGCAAAAGCAGTTTACACCGCTACCTCACTAATACTTAGGACAGGAGGAGACTAAGTGTGAAGCCTTCCCAAGCTACGCTGCCTGGATTCTCATCATAGCTTTGGATGAGTTATCAATTTTCCATTTTCTAAAATGGGGATATATAATAGTACCTATGTTGTAGGGTTGTTTCATGATTAAATGAGTCCGTATTTACAAGGTGCTTACGGCAATGCCTGGCACATAATAAATGTTAGCTTTTTAAAAATGTCTAGTAATGTCTGGGAAAGGAATATCTTGGAAGAAAGCTTTTCCATTTCTCTATATTTTTTAATAACAACAATTTTGAAAGTTTGAAAATTCCCAATTCTTAGATGAGCTTTGCAAATTCTATTTCTCAATGGGGAAAGAGCTGCCCAAAGGAGTCTAACCCTAGAGGGTAAGAGCCAGACTCAAAGCAGATGGGTGTTTAAGTACATTCTGCATGCTGTGTGTGCTCTCTGACTTACATTTCTTTCTTTTTCTTTTCTGACTTTTATTTCCAAGAACAATATATAAATTTGGTTTTTTATTCCTTAATATATATTTTTGGTATAAAAAATTAATATTTAATGATATCTATAAGACTACAGACCACAACAATAAAGTACCCACCTTCAAAAATACAAACACCCTGCAACAAATCCTCAAGGTATCTTACCCAGTAGGTATTTGTCTCTGTAGTCTTTTATATTTATATCCAGTGGTTATTTTATTACTTGACAAGGGGCAAGTCTTGGCATTCCTTGCTGTCAGTTGAAGACAAGCACATTTTGTTCTAAAGGGAAAGCAATGGATGAAGAAGTGAGAATAAAAAAGCACCAACTTAAGTAAAGAGAGTCTTGATAAAAATGTAAATAATATAGTAAAGAATGTAATTATATTTAGAATAGTCACTTAGCTCATGGACAGTTGGACTTCTTCCCTAAAGAAGAGATCTCTTTAAAGGACAAAAACTGGGGCACCTGGTTGGTATAGTCCTTAAGTGTCTCCCTATGGCTCAGGTCATGATCCCAGGGTCCTGGGATCAAGTCTGCTTCTCCCTCTGACCCTCTCCCCTCTCATGCCCTCTTTCTCTCTCTCTCTCTCAAATAAATAAATAAAATCTTAAGAAAAAAAAAAGATGGCAATGTAGGAAGACTCTGAATTCACCCCCTCCATGAATATATTATATCTACCTAATTATTATAGAGCAATGCCTCCTGAAGAACTGAGGGCTGACTGAAAAGCTTCTGCACACACACACACACACACACACACACACACACACAAGACAGACCACAGAGAGAGAGAGAGAGACAGAGACAGAGACAGAGACATAGTAACGAAGGGAACCCCCACCACCTCTGACACTTTGAACTGCAATGAGGAGGGACTATTGAGCAGATCTGTCTACCCTGGGGCACAGAAAAAAAGCTGTGGCTTAAAATGACAACTAGAATATAAAGGAACTAGCCCTAGACCCCTGCCATTTGGCAGGGGAGCAGCTGCTGGAATCCTGTCTGGGTTATGAGGCTGGCAAGCACCACAGTTTACGTTTCCTCTCCACCTTGATAGCACAGATCAGAGTAGGATCTGAATGTCTTAGTCTGCCTGCGACCTCAGCAAGGGCATAGAAAAAAGCCTCAGTTTAAAAGAGCTACTAGAATACAAAGGACTCGACCCTAGAACCATGCAAAATGGGAGGAGAGATGCTGAAACTCTCTCCAAGTCAGAGGGGCTGGTGAACACCACGGTTGATATTCCCCCTCTCCCTTGATACTGCAGACAGGGAAAGGGTCCAGGTACCCTAGTGGGTCTATTGCTGCAGTGAACTCTGGGCCCCTAACCCACACCAGCCCTAGCCATCCCATCGAAGCAGCCCCAGTGCAGCACACAAAGCACACACTCACTACAGCTCCAGCCATCTCTCAAGGTGTGTCAAGATGACACAGGTGCAAAGTATCCTAGAACAGTCCAGGCTCATACCACCTTGGCTCCAGATGATGTCTGCACACCCCTTGTGCATAGTATCCTAGAACATCCTGACCCATACCCTGCTTCAGCCATTGCCACCCTACCAGAGCTCTCCTGAATAAAGAACTATGGGGACCCCTGGCCTCATAACCCACTTAACCTTCAGCTGTACTCACAGGGTGCCCTCTCTATAAAGAGCCCTGAGACCATTACAGTCCATACCCACTACAGCTTCAGCTACCTGGCCAATGTGCTATGTGCACTGAGAGCCCTAGGACGGCTCATCTCGCACCAACTTCAGTTTCAGGCATCCCACTAAGACAGCCCCAGCACAGGGTCCCCTGGGGCCTCCAGCCCACAATAGCCAGCCACAGCTCCTGTGAGCCAGCCAGTCACCAGGTACATAGTCTCCATAGACATAACCATGCAACGATCATTTCTTCCAGTTTAGGAGAAGCAATCATTCTGCCTGATTCATAGAAACAAAGACAAAGTCAAGCAAAATGAGGAGACAGGAACATGCTCCAAACAAAGAACTACACAAAACCTCAGAAAATAAACTAAATGAAATGGATATAAGCAATATTCCTGATAGAGTTCAAAGTAACAATCATGAAGATGTTCACCAGATTGCAGAGAAGACTGGATGAACTCAGTGAAAACTTCATCAAAGAGATAGAAAATATGAAAAAGAATCAGTCAGAGTTGAAGAATATAACTGAATTGAAAACTACACTAGAGGGAATCAATAGATTAGGGGATGCAGAAGAACATATTAGCAATCTGGAGGATAGAGTAATGGAAACTACCCAAGCTGATTAATGACAAGGTAACAGAATTTTTAAAAAGGAGGATAGGTTAAGGGACCTCTTGGACAGTATCAAGTGAACAAACATCTGAATTATAAACATCCTGCAAGCAGAAGAGAGAAAGAGGTAGAAAACTTATTTGAAGAAGTAACAGCTGAATATTTCCCTAACCTAGAGAAGGAAACAGACATCCGGGTTGAGAACACAGAAAGTTCCAAACAAGATGAACCCGTAGAGATACACACCATGACATATAATAATTAAAATGTCAAAGATTAAAGACAGAATTTTAAAAGCAACAAGAGAGAAGCAATTAATAACATACAAAGGAAACCTAATAACACAATCAGCTCGTTTTTAGCAAAAACTTAAGAATTAAAAAAAAAAGTGCTTAAAGAATAAAATCCACAACCAAGAATACTCTGTCTGGCAAGATTATCATTCAGAACTGAAGGAGAGAGAAAGATTTTCCCAGACAAACAAGTTAAAGCATTTATCACTATCAAACTGACCTTTCAAGAAATGTTAAAAGTGACTTCTTGAAGTGGAAAAGAAAAGGCCATTAGAGGAAAATTATGAAAGGGGACTCACAAAATTAAAAGATATAAAATATGACAACATAGATATAAAATGAGGTAGAGGGAAATAAAAATGAAGCTCATTTACAGTGTGTTCAAATTTGAGACCATGAGCTTAATATAGACTGTTATACACTTAGGATGTTATATGTCACGATTTTATTTATTTTAGAGGGAGTGAGACAATGTGCACATGAGCTAATGAGTGTGGGCCGAGGGGCAAAGGAACTGGGAGAAACAGATTCCCCATTGAGTAGGGAGTCTGACACGGGCTCGTTCCCAGGACCCCAAGAACATGACCTGAGCTGAAGGCAGTTGCTTAACTGACTAAGCCACCCAGGTACCCCTTAGGACGTTATATATAAACCTCGTGGTAACCACAAACCAAAAACCTGTAACAGAGACACAAAAGAGAAAGAGAAAGAAAGCCAAGCCTAACTCTAAAGAAAGTAATCAACTGTAAGGAAAGAGAATAAGAGAAGAAAAAAAGGAATAGAAAAGAACTACAAAAACAATTAACAAAATGGCAGTAAGTACATGCCTATTAATAATTATGTTAAAAACAAATGGACTAAATGCTTCAATCAAAAGATAAGACAGGTGCCTAGGTGGCCCAGTCAGTTAAGGATCGATTCTTGATTTTGGCTCAGTTCATGGTCTCAGGATTGTGAGACTGAGCCCAACGTAAGGCTCTTTGCTGGGTATGGAGCCTGCTTAAGATACTCTCTCTCCCTCTCCCTCTGCCCCTCCCCTCCTTCTCTTAAAAAAAAAAAACAAAAAAAAAAAAACAGAGCAAAATAAAAAAACCAAGACCCATCTATATGCAGCCTACAAGAGACTTACTATAGACCTAAAGATACATACAGACTGAAAGTGAAGAGATGGAAAAAGATATTCCAAGCAAATGGAAGTGAAAACAAACCAACCAACCTGCAGTAGCAATACTTGTATCAGACAGAATAGACTTCAAAACAAAGACTGTATTAAGAGACAAAGAAGTGCATTATATAATGACAAAGGGATGACTCTAACAACAGGATATAGCACTGTTCAGTATCTAAGCATCCAACACTGGAGCACCTAAATATATAAAGCAAATTTTAACAGACACCAGGGGAGAAACTAACAGTAATATAATAATAGTACGGACTTTAACATTTTCCTTACACTAATGGATAGGTCATCCAGGCAGAAAATCAGTAATGAAACAGTGTCTTTGAACAGTAGACTGGATGGACTTGAAATACACATACACAACACTCCAGCCAAAAACAACAGAATACACATTCTTTTGAAGTGCACATGAACATATATCCCAATAAATGAGTCTCAATAAACTTAAGACTGAAATCACATCAAGCATCTTTTCTGACAAAATGGAATGAAATCAGAAATCAATTACAAGAAAAAAAGTGGAAAAACCATAAACATGTGGAGACTAAATAACATGCTACTAGACAACCAATGGGCCAATGAAAAAATCAAAGAGAAAATTAAAAAATACCTCTAAGCAAATGAAACCAAATGGTCTAAAATCTTTGGCATGCAGCAAAAGCAGATTTAAGAGGGAAATATATAGTAACCTTAAAAAATTAAGAAAAATCTCAAGCAATCTAAACTTACACCTAAAGGAAGCAGAAAAAGAACAAGACCCAAAATTAGTAGAGGAAAGTAAATAAAAAAGATGAGAGCAGAAATAAATGTAATAGAGAACAAGGAAAAAAAATAGAAAAGATCAATGAAACCAAGAGCCTGGTCTTTGATAAGAAAAACAAAATTGATAAACCTTTAGTCAGATTCATCAAAAAGAGAGAGGATTCAAATAAAATCAGAAATGAAAGCGGTTAAGTAATAACTGACACCACAGAAATACAAAGGATTATAAGAGACAAGAGATAACTATGAAAAATTACAAGCCAACAAATTAGACAATGTAGAAGAAATCGATAAATTCACAAACATAATTTTCCAGAAGTATCAAGAAAAAATAGAAAAAATTATTACTAGTAACAAAACTGAATTGGCAATCAAAAACTCCATTTAAAGAAGAGTTAATATTAAACATTTAAAGAAGAGTTAATACCTATTCTCAAAACTATTCCAAAAAATAGAAGAGGAAGGAAAACATCCAAATACATTCTATGAGGCCGCATTATCTAGGTATCAAAACCAGATAAGGATATTAGGAAAAAAGAAAACTACAGAGCAATGTAGCTAATGAACATATATGCAAAAATCCTCAACAAAAGATTAGCAAACCAAATTCAACAATATACTAAAAAGATCATTCACGGGTGCCTGGGTGGTGGCTCAGTGGATTAAAGCCTCTGCCTTCGGCTCAGGTGGTGATCCCAGGGTCCTGGGATCAAGCCCCGCATCAGGCTCTCTGCTCAGCAGGGAGCCTGATTCCTCCTCTCGCTCTGCCTCTCTGCCTA